ACCCTACCTTTGATTAACCTTTTAAACTTTAAATGCTTATAAAATACCTTAGGGCTCCCTTTCATCTTATCTACTAATCTTTTCTCACGCAATCTCTTTGCCCCTCTTATTTCCTTTTTCAGTTCTCCTCTGCACTTTCTATATCCTATTTGATTATCTTCTGTATTTTGGAGCTGACATTTATCATTAGCCCCTTTTTCTGTTTATTTTAATCCCAAATTCCTTATTCATTCAGGGAGGTTTGGATGCCCCACCTTTCCCTTTGTGGGAATGTATTTGTTCTGTCCCTGAACTATCTCCTCCTTGAAGGCTTCCCATTGCTTGTTAGCTGTTTTGCCTGCCAATCTTTCTTTCCAGTCCACCTTGGCTAGGTCCCTTTTTAATTCACAGAAATTAGCCCTCTTCCAGTTGACTATCTTCACCTTTGATTGTTCCTTGTCCCTTTCCATTAGTACTTTAAACCTAATGATGTTGTGATCACTGTTGTCTAGATGCTTTCTTACTGGAACCCGTTCCACTTGCCCCACTTAATTCCCCAGAACTAGATCCAGCACTGCTTCCTTTCTCATTGGGCTAGAAACATACTGATCCAGAAAGTTTTCCTGCACACATTTCAGGAATCCTTTCCCCTCCTTGCCCTTTACACTGCTATTTTGCCAGTCTATGTTAGGATAATTGAAGTCCCCATTATCACTATTCTATTGGTTTCGCATCTTTCTGAAATCTGCTTGCTCTTCCTACCATGCCTGGTGGGCACCCACTCACTCTCCTTCTGAACCCTCTGTGGTTGTGGGGTGACCACCTCCTGAAACATTTGACCCATGAACTCTTCAGCCTTCCATATGCTGTGTAGTGACACCAGCCTCTCCTCGAGGTCAGAAATTCTGAGCTCAACCTCAAGCAGCCAGAGGCACTTCCTACACATGTGTTTGTGCAGGGCACACAAAGCATCCTGGAGTTGTCACATGGCACAGATTGAGCATGCAACTGGTCTCAGCTGCCCTGCCCTATTCCCAGACATGGTTTATATTATTTTAATATAATTTATATATTTTATAATTATGCTCCTCTTTCCCCCTCTGCACCGAATTCCCACTCTCACCAAGTTCCTTTACAGAATTCTCACTTTGTTCCACCTCACCCAATTCCCTCCTTACGCTGTTGGGCTTTCTGCTCAAGTTTATTGTTAATGTTTTAGCTTCAAAAACAATAATGAAAGAGTTAAGTTTTTTTATTATTATACATCTCATAGAAATTATAACATTATTTTTGCAACAAAATGCTTGCCATTTTAAATCCTGTATAGAATTCATTCTGGAGCTACCCTTGACTGTTGCATTGTAAGAATTGAGAAAGCTTTGTGTTATCTGAATATGAATCCTTCGCATCAGGAGGATGTCCCAAGGCACTTAATAATATGACATTTGGGCTGGGGGTGAGAGCAAAGTGGGATAAGGGAGGGGAAAAATGAACACCGATTTGTGAATACTTATGAAATGTTATTTAATACAAGGAATGATGATGATATAATCATTCTTTAAAACAATGGCAAATTCTACCCCAATATTGGATTATGGTGGGTCTGTTTAAAAGGAGAGGAAAGAGAGACTGCAACAAACGGAGGGTAAAAGATTGTGTCCCCATCAGAGGGAAAAAGGACAGGAGAGGCAGCAAAAAATCAGAAATAAGAACAGTAGCTATCACTGTAAAAACATTGCTCACAGCCAGAAAACAAAGTACCACTTAATAGGTAACAATGCTTCAAAACTATCATTTTTATTTGAAGTGATTGCAGTTTTTAAATGTGTATATCCTTTTTCCAGTGTTCTCTCCTGAAGACCGATGCAGCAGTATTATTCTATGGCTGCCAGCAAATTTCTCATATCATAAATAAATGGTGACTTTTGTTTTATGATACTACACAGTGAGTGTTAATGCTTATTGAACCATGGAAGCATGGGGGAATTATATAGAATTGTTTTAAAAATTGGTGAGCCAGGTTAGACCTGCTCACCCGCATTAACCAAATTAGACAAAAGCGTTCCACTTTGGGAATATGGGTTGTCCCCACAGACAAGTTCCCAATCCCCCAAAAACTCTTCTAGGTCCCAAATTGTCAAAGGACAATGCGGACCTGAACCATGTTTTCATGACTATCCAAGCAAGTCAGGTGACCTCTGGCAGGACAAGCCCAGCCTGAGCCTTGTGACCAAGTGAGCTTTAAGTTCCAGTATCACCTTTGATACTGTGGAACACTCAATCCTCCTCCACCGCCTCTCCTCCCACCTCAACCTTCAAGGTTCTGTCCTTGACTGGTTCAGGTCCTACCTTTCACACCACCTCCACTTCGTCTCTGCAAACGGCTTCTCCTCCAGTCCACGCACTGTCTCGTGCAGCGTTCCTTAGGGCTCTGTCCTCGGTCCCCTCCTCTTCACCCTCAACATGCTCCCCCTTGGTGACATCATCCCCAGACATGGGGTAAATTTCCACATGTAATCAGATGACACCCAACTCTATCTCTCTGCCTCCACTACTGGTGTCCTGACCGACTGCCTGTTTGACATCAAGGCCTGGACAAGGGAAAACTTTCTCCAACTGAACGTCAACAAGATTGAGGCCCTCCTGATTGGCTCATGCCAGCGCCTCCGCACCTCGGGTGCTGGCAGCATCAGCCTCCATGGCTGCACACTCAACCTCACTAAGCCAATCAGGAACCTGGGTGTCTTGTTTAACCCTGAACTGTCCTTTCTCCCCCACATCCGCCCCATGATGGGCATTGCCTACTACCACCTCCCCAGACTCCGCCACTGCCTCACCCCTCAGGCTGCCGAAACTCTGATCCACGCATTCATCACATCAAGCCTCGATTACGGAAACTCCCTCCTCATTGGCCTTCCCAACTCTTCCCTTCACAAGCTGCAGATTATCCAAAACTCTGCAGCTCGTGTGCTCTCACTCACCAGGCTCCGCGACCCAATCACTCCCACCCTCGCCCGACTCCACTGGCTCCCCATCCCCCAGAGGATCGAATTCAAGAATCTTTGTCCTCACTGTCAAGGCCATCCATGGCCTTGCCCCTTCCTACCTCTCTGACCTGCTGACTCCCTACCAACCTGCCCGCTCCCTCCGAACAGCAGACTCCGGCCTGTTCCGTGTCTCTCGCCCGACCCACCCTACCATCGGTGGCCGGGCTTTCAGCCTCTCTGCTCCCACACTCTGGAACTCCATCCCTCAGTTCCTTCGCCTCGCTTCCTCCCTTGCCTCCTTCAAGAGCAGTCTCAAGATCCTTCTCTTTGATGGTGCCTTCAGTCACCCTCCCACCTCTCTGCCTTCCCTCACCCCTACCCACCCCTCCCCCATGCTCGGGTCCTGACCTCTGACTGTCCAGCGCTTTGGGATGTCCTCCCGACGTGAAAGGTGCTCTATAAATGTAATTTTGTTGTTGTATCTCTGCTTCCTCTTTGTGAGGGCGGATCAAACTCTTCAGATCGGAAATACTACAAGAGAGCTGATGTGAACAGAAACTACACTTGATCTTGGCCAAAAGGCTGAGAAGCGAATTTCATAAAATGGTATGTTATAGAAACAGGCCATTCAGCCTAAGTCATCCATGCTAATGTTTATATTCAACATGAATCTCCCACCTCTCCTCTGCTTCATTATCTAACATGTTTTCTCTTAAATATATTGATGCTTTTTTCTTCAACAACATCTTCTGACAATGAGTTCCACATTCTCACAATAATAATAATACTTGGATGTAGAGGTAGCACCTTATCACATCTTTGAGACGTCTCAAAGCGCTTCACAGAATATACTGTAAAGTGAATTGTCTATATATTTTGTGTGCGAAACGCAGCAGGCAATTGCTCACAGCATACTGCAGTCGTGGATTGAGTGACCAAATTCAGCAATTCAATCAAGGAAAAACTGAAAACACACTATCGATCGAACACGGACTTACCTAGACTCGGGTGAATGTTTGGGGGCATGCCGTGTGGGAGTGGGGGTCACTTCTTGACGGTCTCACTGGCCACAGCTGGGCCATCACTGGAATGTAACAAATAGCAAAGATATTTTATTGATCGTTTGTTGATACGTATTCTATAACATTTATTTGTTGATATTTATTCTATAATATTTCTTTATTTGTACTGTGACATTTCTCTGTTATTGTGCTATAAACATTTCATTGTTGATATTTGTGCTATAACTTTTCTTGTTAGAGAAAAACAATGCAATACACTCCCAGCATGACACATGCAGTCATAGATTTGTATTGCATTGTTGGAGGTGCCATTCTTCAAATGAAACGTTAAACTGAGGTCCTGTCTTCCTGTTCATGCGGATGTTAATAATTCCATGGCATTATTCGAAAAGAGAAGGGAGTTTCTCCTGGTGTCCCGGTCAAGAATCCTGGAATAAAATTTGATCACTCACTTTATGACGGTTTGTGGAACATTGCTGTGTGAAAATTGGCTCTGAAAATACATTTACCCACAAATACACAGTACATTCTGTGAAGCACTTTGGGATGTCCTCCCGATGGGAAAGACGATATATCAAATGCAACGATTATTATTTTTGTTGTTTTTGTTATTATTGTTATTGATATAACATTTCGCTGATATTTGTGCTATAATATTTCTTTGTTATTTGTAGTTTAAAATTTAATGATTGATGTGTGACAAATCAGTGGCCGCTGCAACACAAGAAGATTTTAGCAAATTTCTACAAGAGACAGCAGATAGTCAGAATTCTGAGTGGGGAGGGGGGTAAACAAATAGACATGCAACATAATAGAAGAAAGAATATTTCAATATAATTCCATGAAATTGGTAAGTAAGATAATTCCCTTAAAATTTGTAACCATATGCTGCAATCACATACGAAATTGAGAGACGCAAGGGAAAGTTTTTTTTAAGGCAGGGTTGTTGAACAGCTAAATAGTGCTTGTTATTCCCTTAACTCTACTGTAGGGACCTTCAGAGGTCAGTCTACTGGTAGCTTCCTGCCGGCAAACATCAGCTGCTCAATTGCAGCAGAGCAGGCGTGTGTGTATGGGCTGTGTGCAGGATAAGGTAGAAGGCATTTCAGTACGTTTTGTAGAAATATAATATCAAATGCAAGGATTATTATTATTAGAAGAAAAGCAAATGCGGGCAGCTTTTGGCAGTAATTAGCAGATAAAGCTGTGAAAGAAGCTAAGCCAAATACTGGCTGGGTGTCTGAAAAGCAAGCATGTAAGTGATTTCTCGATGCTGTTTTTACTGTTGGCTTTACTTGCTTGTTCCCAGGACTTCTAGAGATCCAAAGCTGTGCAAGAGAATTAAGAAAACAAGGGCAGAGATGAATGTTAATCCTGTAATACTAAGTACTTCCAAAATACTGTGCAATGTGTTACCAGTGACAATTTTCTGTCAAACTGTATTAGCTGAACTTGGTTTTGAAACCGTTCTGTCTTGTTCCTGTAATTTCAAGACAGGGTGCCATATTGAAATGTTCATTTTTTTTGCATTGCATTTACAGGTGTTGAATGACGAGAATCTCTTACATTTGATCTTCCAGCAAAGAAAATTCTGGATGTCCTACAGCTTACTCTGAACGGTAACTTGGGGAGTTGGGGCAGAAGGGAAGTCACCAGTCCGCAGTGTAACAGGCCACAGCATTATTACTGATCCCTCCTCCCAGACTAGAGTTTGTCAGTATTGCTGATTATGGCAGCAGTTGACAGTTTTGCTCTCCTGTACAGACAGATTACCCTAATCTCAAATTCCTACTTTGAAACACTCGCCTTTTTGGGAGCATGTTATGTGACTCGGACAACCATTAATGTCGTCATTGATTTCTACAGCTTAGTACGAGTGCATTTGATCCCTCATCTTTCCAGAAGGAAGGACCTGATCAAATGTTACGGCGAGTGGGCCTTGGTCACTGGTAGGTACAGCCCTTTGCTCTCTTTTTATCAGAATCTACAACTTGCATTTATATAGCGCTCTTCACGCGGGATAGTGACTCGGAGCACTTCCCTTGTGTGGTCACTTGCGTGGAGTATCGATTCCCTCGAATCTAGGGAAATAACAGTGTAAAACCTACAGCAATCCTTTCACTTTTTCTTGAAATAACATTCTAGCAACAGTTAAAGAGGAGGGTCTTCAGATGTGATCTGAAGACGATCTGTTTGTGGAACATTTCTGTGTGCAAATTGGCTCTGCATTTGCCTGCAATGTTGATTGTTTGGTCAGCCGAGTGTCCGACATAGGTGGAAACCCATCACCATGCTTAACAGGATCCAAAACAATCTGAGAATTCTGTCCGTCCCACCTACACAAGGAAATTCCAGATAGATTGTTGGAATGGAATGCCCGCTCTCCCTGTAGGGACGAGTCCTGCTTACCCAATTCCGGAAAGTTTTAAGTGCAAATTGGGAAGAACTAAGTCTTGGGGACTCCAGAGTGTGTGTTGGGGTACTGCTGGAGTAATACAAGATCATTCCACTTTACAGTAAGTTCCTGTGAAGCACTTTTAGATGCTATATCAAATGCAAGGGTTCTTATTAATATTATCGGCATGTTATAAGAAACAATAGGATAAAGCATATTCCTTAATGATGACCAATTTTAGTTATCGCCCACTAGTAACAGCACAATTCTCCAGTTAATAATAATAACAATAATAGAGTTTTTCACGTCGGGAGGACTGTTGAGTGCAATGGGTCAATTCTGTATTTAGTTGTATATAATTTAAATCAAATTTGTTGACCCGGAATTTGTGAGTTTTTGTATGGTTTTGGCCCCTGAGATAATCAATTATTTTTTGAAGAAAATACATAATTGAGCCTTATTTTGTTATGTTTTTTCCCCTTTTAATTTAAAAAAAACTCCTTTAAGAACATCTCCTTATCCGATCCCAGTATCTGTTACTTTTCTTATTTTGAAGTGATTTTTTTTTTGGTTTGTAACTTGCAGGCCTTCAAATTTCCAGGTTTCATCTGCCAAAGAGGAATGGAAATTGCTCTCAGGCAAAAAGCTAATTTTTAGCAACCCAGAAACCTTGGGCCACATCACTCTTGAGCACTGTAACTTTTCTCAGATTGGTGCGAATCATAAGATCACAAGATTAGTTTGGATTGATACATCCAGAATACTCGCCTAGTTGTCCTCCCATTATAGCGTCAAGCTGTATTTTTAAATGTATCCAGTGTCCTGGTCTTAGCCACCCTTCCTGGCAAGATTGGAAAGATAAGCACACATTGAGACTAAAATTTGCCGACTTCCACCAGCTTTAGTCTTGAAGTTGAATATCGACTTTAAAGTCCTCACACTTGTGTTCAAATCCCTTCACTCTCTGGCACCTCCCTACTTCTCTGACCTCCTCACCCCACAATCCACACCCGGCGCCTCCACTCGAGTGGCACCGACCTCCTCTTCATCCCTTGTACCCTCCGCCCCACCATCAGAGATTGTGCTTTCAGCCACTGCACCCCCAAACTCTGGAACATTCTCCCTCATTCCCTCTGTCTTGCCCCCTCTTTCCACCTTTTCAAGTCCCGCCTAAAAACCTTCCTCTTTCACCGTGCTTATGGCCACCACCCTCCCCTCACCACCCCACCTTAGCTTGGAGTCAAGGTCCATCTGGACATATTGTACTGAAGCTTAATTTAAAAATGATTTTACAGCAGCCCTGATGCTATAGTTGATAGAGCCATAGTTTACACGAGGAACTCACTGGTTTGAAAGAGTTTGCTGGGGTCTTGGCTGAGGTTACAATTAGAAGCTAAATTGGCTCCTGATATACCTGGGATTAGGGAGGGGAAAACCAAAAAATACCAATGGTGAACATTTTTAAAAATCAGCTAAACTAAATGTTAAACAAAAATTATTTTACAGTGAAAACGCTGTGAAATGTTTGTTTGATATAGTGTAACCTCAGGTCATACAAATATTTAGATCATGGATATTAAATATCACGTTTAGGAATGCTACTGAGTCATTGGCAGAATCTGGAAGGGTAGACCAGTCACTGGGGGCAGGGAGTCATCCCACTCAGCCCCTGTTACCCAAAAGCTCTAACGGGTAAGGTGGTCCTAGCTGGACAAGTATCAGGAGAACTTGCCGGACAGCAATATCAATGGCAAGTTTTGAGGTTTTAGCTGGTTAGACTCCAGCAGTACCTCAATGCACACTCTAGGGTCCCCAAGCCTTGGTTCTTGATGTCTCCCTCCAGGGAAAGAGTGTGCATTTCATTCCAACAATCTATCTCTGGGATTTCCATGTATAGATGGAATGCATGTAAATCTCAGTTTGGGATGGATACTCTTAAACATGGTGATGGGTTTCTGCATGGGTCAGACACCCGGCTGACCCCCCACAAAAATACTGAGTTGTATGGTTGTATTTTAACTGGTATACTATTCATAGTATACTTTTCTTGGTAACATAATTTCAAATCTTATGGACAGCTTCTGTAATGTACAGTAGCTAAAATCCATTTTGACCGTGGCAGATTTGCCGTTTTTTATTTGTTTTCTCAGGTGGAACGGAAGGAATTGGAAAAGCTTACGCTGAGGAGTTGGCCAGCCAAGGCATCAATATAATTCTTATCAGTCATGATTACAGCAAGCTGGAAGCCACTGCCAAAAGGATTACTGAGATGTTTAAGGTTGAAACCATCACAATTGAAACTGACTTTACCAAAGGCCAGGAGAGCTACCAGCCTATTAAAGAAGTTCTGAAGGATAAAGAAATAGGCATTTTGGTGAACACTGCGAATGTGGTCCACAAATGCCCACAACCTTTTTTATGTTTGTCCAAGGACCAACTCTGCGATATATTGAATGTAAACATTGCTGCTGTCAACATGATGACACACATTGTGCTACCAGGAATGCTGAAGAGGCAGAAGGGAGCTATCATTAACATTTCTTCAGGGTCTTACTTTATACCCACAACACATATGGCTGTCTACTCCAGCACAAAGGTATCTCCAGATAAATTCTACAAGCCCCGACTGAAATACTGTATATCAGTCATTTACAATTGTAATATTTCTCATAGCAGAGTCTGTTGCTTGCAAGAATTGTTACTGTGACGAGGTGTGATCTGTGGTGTGTTTAAGATGCTTTTGAGAATCTAATTGTTAATTTCAAAGTGGTGGAGACTCATGAAGAGCATAAACATCATCACAGAGGAATTGGGCTGAATGGCCTGTTTCTGTGCTTTTCTCTCTAGCGATGGGATATCAAGAGGGGACCTGATAAGAATCCTTCAAAATTAGGACTAGTGGATGCTAATCAGCTATATCCAAAATGAGGGACTTTTATAAGATAACCAGCCCAAATCTAAAAGGAGGAATGCCTTTACGCAGAGGATGAAACCAACCGCCAGAAGCGTGGTTGAAGCAAAACACTTCAATGTACCTAATGGAAACTTAATGCCTACATGAGGGAGAAGGGAATAAAGGATATAGGAGAGGGGAGTAGAAGTGGTGGAGGCTGATGTGGAGAATAAACATCAGAATAAGACTTGTTGGGCCAAATGGCCTGTTTCCTTGTTGCATCGTTTTATGTAATTCTATGCTTTAACGGTACTCGAAGCACAAGACTTAACTGGCAGAGCTGCTACTGATCTTTAGCCACATTTTCTACCTTTAATATCACAAATCCTGTCTCCATGAAATAAACGATAAATGGTCAGCGGTTGCCATTTAAATCCTCTCATAAACTTACGGGAATGTGTGATTCAGTATGTCACGTTGTGGGAGCTAACTCTGTTATTTTTTCAGGCTTATTTGGACCATTTCAGCAGAGCTTTGCACTACGAATACTCATCCAAAGGAATCTTCGTTCAGAGCCTGATGCCATTTTATGTAGCCTCCGACAAAAGTAAATCCAGTTGGTACCTCTCATGGCTTTTCCCATCAGCTAATGTTTACTCACGGCATGCAATTTCAACTCTTGGAGTATCAAGCAGGACTCCAGGTTACTGGGTACATTCAATTCAGGTGAATATATTACATTGTAAAGTATTGCTCTACTGGGTCTATTAAGCTTTTCCCATTTTCTCCCCTCTGAAAAGAAAAGGGAATTCCTCCCTACCTGTTAGGGCTTTGGCTTGCAGGGTTAATGGGAGCTGAGTGGGAAGAGTCCCTTCCCCTACGACTGGTTTGCTTTTCCATGTCCTCCCTATGTGACGGGCTAGCTGTGCTGTCACCGCAGTGTCCTGGAGTACTGTCTGGAAACCTGTCTGGCTAAGGATTTGGACAACCGAAACCGCCACAGAAGGTGGGGTCGATTCTGACATTCCATTGCCAAACATGTAACCTAGGAGCCAGTTTAGCTCCAGGGAGGCCCCGATTACCCCCCTCCCCTCCCCCCAGGAAGATAACAAGGTCTTGGTTATAACTTTATTGAATAGTTTTAAAACAAACAGAATATCTTGCATGAAATTACAAATCAATAGGAGAATCATAAAATGTCAGAGCATGGAATAAAGCCATTTACTAAATCGTGCCTGTGCCAGCTCTCCGAAAGGGCTCAGCATTTAGACCCATTCCCCTATCCTATCCTAAAATCCGCTAATAACAAGGTTTGAGACACATTCTAATTTCTCCCTTTTGTTATTTTGGTAACAATCTTAGCTTCTTGGACTAATTTTATGTCTTTTTCTTCCAGTTAATATTTACCCAGTGGATTCCTGAATGTCTATGGATTTGGGGAATGAATATGATGAACAAATATAAATAGTAGACAGGCGAAGCTTGAAGCCCAAACACTACCCTTTACCAGAAGCAGCTGCAGCATCCTAAACTACCTTGACTATTGACATTTCTTGAGCAAGATAGAAGAATATATTGTAATATTTCTGTTGCACGGTGGAAGAGACTTGAAGAAGCATCTGTACTATCTTGAAACCTTCTGAAATAAAGCCCATCATGCATGCTTAGAACATCATAACTGAGCAACATCCTGATTTGGACTCCTGTAGCTCAGTGGTTAGACCACTCGCATCGCAAGCGAGAGATCTAGATTTTTGATTCACAGCAGGGCGAAACGTTGGGAAAGTTAACTTACTCCACACACCTGTTTACCTAGCAGTAAGTAGGAACATGGTTGTTAGTTGATTGGTGGATTGCTTTTCTGGAGGCAATAATTCCTTCAAAAAAAATAATAATATATTGGTCAATTGGCTGCCACATTTCGCCCACAAAATATACAGTCAATTCACTTTACAGTATATTCTGTGAAGCGCTTTGAGATGTCTCGAAGACGTTATAAGGCGCTATATCAAATACAAGGGTTATTATTACCATGCATGCTTAGAACATTATAACAGCAACATCCTGACAACTCAATTGGCTGCTCAGTGGATAAACAGTTATTTGATCTCAGCCTGTGTAGTAGCTGGAGATGTAGAGGGTAATTCCATTTGGATCTTAATTCATTACACTATTGTAATGAATATACTGTAAAGTGTAATACTTTAATATTTAAGAGTGTCCCACGATTTGGCAAATTCTTAAATACAGACTTAATTTTGAAGCCTTTATTTTTGCAACTCCAGAAAAATGACTTCAGAGTTAAGACTGAATCAAAAACAATTCTGGACTCTAAAATGCTACATAAATAGAATAAATCTAGACCCATTATGTGATTAACAACAGCAGTTCTTCAAGGTTTTCTCATAACTTTCTGAGTATAGTTTATTATCATTGTGGCACTGTGTTAAATGTTATATATTACAATACGGCACAGAAACAATCCATTTGGCCTGTTTGAAATTATAAAGGTGGTATTTACATTTTGTCTAATTTGTGGTAGAACATCAACGGTGGTGAAGAATGTTTTAGAAATTTGATGATGCATTTGTCAGCACAATTGATATTCAGATTCAAGATAATGACACATTTACTGAGAATATCAACAAATGTCAGAAACTTTGTGCTAAATGCAGACAGAATTGCAGAATAGACTGTGTGTTGATCTATAAAAAAAGGATTATCAGCACTTCCACTGGTAGGGAAGTCGGTGACAACAGCATATAGATATGATAGTCACAAGAAGAGTGAAAGGAGAGCTTTTCAACAGAGAAATGTTGTTCATGAATGATAGATGGTAGAGGCAGAGTCCATTCTGGATTTCAAGAGGGAAGCAGACAGGTGAATGAAAGCTGGAGGCTTAAAGAGATAAGGGAATAGCAAGACAGTGAGATTGAAAGAACAGCTTGCTCCTATAACCTACGCAGACTTGATGGGCCAAATGGCCTCCTGAGCTGTACAATTCTGTTTCTCTGATTTTATGATCACCAATTCTGAGATGTCCTCAATTTAGGACCTTAAATTATATATTGTGGGCTTTTTGAATCCATTTGCTCTCGCTATTGTGGAAGGCGTAGAATTCTCATTTGTGATTTACACTGACACGAGCCTCGTGTAGTATCTGCGCGAAAATAAATGGAAGTTAAATGAAGCGTCTCGAGTACTGGAATGAGTCCTTCCGCGTTTGCTACTCAAAGCGCTATTTTTCAAAGTCATCGGAGGAGGCTTTCCAACTTTTAAGAGATGATACTGTACGAAGGAGTTAAGCCACTGGATTCACGGAGATTTGGTGCTCTTGAAAGGAGTTTCAGCCAAGCAATCCCACCAGCGGCAGTCAAATCACATGCGTGAATCACAGTCAGTTGGATGGGAAGATTTCGACAGACCAACAGCAACACAATATATCTGACTCTCCCGACAGTCATCGCATACGATCTTCCGTCTACTCGGAATGATTATTACGTTTGAACAGTCGTAACCGGTCCATTTTTTTTAAAAAAAAATGGTTTCGCTCACTATAATGTGCTGTAACACATCCTTCCCACCTCAGTCAGTCCCACAGAACTAATAGTAATGATGATGATGAGGTGACGTCATCGCTGCCCCACGTGATGACAGTCCACGTGCAACAACGTGGATCAGAGACAACAACAAAACCCAACTCGGGCTGTGCTCCGGTCTGGCTCCAGGGCAGCGCTGCGCATGCGCGGGTGAGACCGAGGCCGAGGCCGAGCAGCAGCGGTTGCGTCACCATAAACCGTCCCCCAAACCCCGCCCCTCCCCCCCTCCCACCTGCACCATCATCATCATCATCGTCCCCACCGCCGCCGCCCCGGGCGGCAACAACCAGCTCGGACACCAGGGCCGGACCAAACAGACCTACCCCCCCCCCCCCACCCACCCACACACACACACACACACACCCCACACACACACACCACCACCATCACCACCAAACCAACCCGACCCAACCCCCGCCTCCCGCTCCGGCATCATCGCCATCATCATCATCATCATCGCTGGTATTTGCGCCGCTCGATCCTCAATTACAGGCGACGCGAGAGAGAGAGACCACAGTAACTGTACAGAGAGAGACCATAGTAACTACACAGAGAGACCATAGTAACTGTACAGAGAGAGAGAGACCATAGTAACTGTACAGAGAGAGAGACCATAGTAACTGTACAGAGAGAGAGAGACCATAGTAACTGCACAGAGAGAGAGAGACCATAGTAACTGTACAGAGAGAGACCATAGTAACTACACAGAGAGAGACCATAGTAACTGTACAGAGAGACCATAGTAACTGTACAGAGAGAGACCATAGTAACTGTACAGAGAGAGAGAGACCATAGTAACTGTACAGAGAGAGACCATAGTAACTACACAGAGAGAGACCATAGTAACTGTACAGAGAGACCATAGTAACTGTACAGAGAGAGACCATAGTAACTGTACAGAGAGAGAGAGACCATAGTAACTGTACAGAGAGAGAGACCATAGTAACTGTACAGAGAGAGAGACCATAGTAACTGTACAGAGAGAGACGATAGTAACTGTACAGAGAGAGAGACCATAGTAACTGTACAGAGAGAGACCATAGTAACTGTGCAGAGAGAGACCATAGTAACTGTACAGAGAGAGAGACCATAGTAACTGTACAGAGAGACCATAGTAACTGTACAGAGAGAGAGACCATAGTAACTGTACAGAGAGAGAGACCATAGTAACTGTACAGAGAGAGAGACCATAGTAACTGCACAGAGAGAGAGAGACCATAGTAACTGTACAGAGAGAGAGACCATAGCAACTGTACAGAGAGAGAGACCATAGTAACTGTACAGAGAGAGAGAGACCATAGTAACTGCACAGAGAGAGACCATAGTAACTGCACCGAGAGAGACCATAGTAACTGCACAGAGAGAGACCATAGTAACTGTACAGAGAGAGACCATAGTAACTGTACAGAGAGAGACCATAGTAACTGTACAGAGAGAGAGACCATAGTAACTGTACAGAGAGAGAGATCATAGTAACTGTACAGAGAGAGAGACCAGAGTAACTGTACAGAGAGAGACCATAGTAACTACAGAGAGAGAGACCATAGTAACTGTACAGAGAGAGAGACCATAGTAACTGTACAGAGAGAGAGACCATAGTAACTGTACAGAGAGAGAGAGACCATAGTAACTGTACAGAGAGAGAGACCATAGTAACTATACAGAGAGAGAGACCATAGTAACTGTACAGAGAGAGAGAGACCATAGTAACTGTACAGAGAGAGACAGACCATAGTAACTGGACAGAGAGAGAGAGACCATAGTAACTGTACAGAGAGAGAGACCATAGTAACTGTACAGAGAGAGAGACCATAGTAACTGTACAGAGAGAGAGACCATAGTAACTGTACAGAGAGAGAGACCATAGTAACTGCACAGAGAGAGAGACCATAGTAACTGTACAGAGAGAGAGACCATAGTAACTGTACAGAGAGAGAGACCATAGTAACTGTACAGAGAGAGAGACCATAGTAACTGTACAGAGAGAGAGACCATGGCAACTCTACAGAAAGAGAGAGAAACTATGGTAACTGTACAGAGAGAAAGAGACGATGGTAACTGTACAGAGAGAGAGAGAGAGAGACTATGGTAACTACAGAGGGAGAGACACCCTATTAAATGTAGAGAGAGAGAGAGCCTATTTTAAAGATACAACCTGAATGACTATACTGTATTATATTGTTCTCGTATTTACTGTTGTTTTCACATGTTCATTGTCTATCGATTCTAAAGTTTAAACATCTTGCTGCCATGTCGAGCTTTATCATGTCTTGTTATTTACAGCAAAATGTCGCAGTTTTCCAGTGAAGATGAGGCAAAGGTTCAGTCTTTGCTCAGGCAGTTACTGAAGAGTACGAAGGAGAGAATCTCGGGAGCACCTTCGGTTGAATGTGCGGAGGAGATCCTTCTACATTTGGAGGAAACTGATGAAAATTTTCACAAGTATGTCCAAGAAAGTTATTATTGGATCGATTTGACATTAACGGGTGAAACTGTGATTTGTCAAATTTACTGACTTATGGTGTGAACTTATAATGGGCTTTTTTATACTTCAAGACAAGATGTGCCTTAAGAGATGGGGTATCAGTCATCTCCATCATTGATCTGCAATTACATTGCACCCTTCATGCAGGATGGCGTCTCGCAGTGCTGGAAGCCCATATCCAGACCACATTGTGTGTCAGCGTGCTTCAGTACTCTCGCTCCTGAGCCAGTGCAGTGACCTGTTTGACTCTCAATTATCCTTTAAACCCCACATGCGTGCCATGACCCACTGGGTACAGTTACCATGGTCCCCCATCTCCACAACATTGCCCATTTCCACCATTGCCTCTGTCCTCAGGCTACTGAAACCCTCATTCATACATTCATCAGGTCTGGCTTGACTATGCCAATTCCATGCTCATTGAACTTCCAACTCTTCCCTCCACAAGCTGCAGATTATTCAGAACTCTGCACCTCATGTCCTCTCCCGTACTTAGCTCCATGAGCCGATCACCCCCATCCTCTCCCGGGTCCATTGGCTTCCCATCCCTCAGAGTATCAAGTTTGAAATCCTTGTCCTCACTTTTAATAATGATAATCCTTCCACTTGATATAGTGCCTTATCACGTCTTCGAGATGTCTCAAAGCACTTCACAGAATTTACTCTAAAGTGAATTGACTGTATATTTTGTGGGCGAAACGCGATAGCCAATTGCACACTGCAGTTTCCCACAAACAGTTGTGGGTTGAAGTGATCAATGTATTTTTTTGAACTAATTATTATCTCCGAAAAAGTGATCCGCCAATCGACTAATGACAACAACAACAACAAAAATTACATTTATAGAGCGCCTTTCACGTCGGGGAGATGTCCCAAAGCGCTGAACAGTCAGGGGTCAGTACCCGAGCATGGGGGAGGGGTGGTGTAGGAGTGAGGGAAGGCAGAGAGGTGGGAGGGCGATTGAAGGCATGATCGAAGAGAAGAGTCTTGAGACCAGTCTTGAAGGAGGCAAGGGAGGAAGCGAGGTGAAGTGACTGTGGGATGGAGTTCCAGAGAGTGGGGGCAGTGGCCTGGCCACTGATGGTAGGGCAGGAGACATGGAGCAGACGAGCCCGCTGAATAGAGGGAGCGGGCAGGTTGGTTAGGGAGTTAGCAGGTCAGAGAGGTAGGAGGGGGCAAGGCCATGGATGGCCTTGAAAGTGAGGACGAGGATTTTAAATTCGATCCTCTGAGGGATGGGGAGCCAGTGGAGTCGGGCGAGGGTGGGAGTGATGGGGTCACGTAGCCTGGTGCGCGAGAGAACACAAGCTCCATGACCTCCACGGATGTGCTCCTCCCTACCTCTGCATCCTGTTAACACCCATGCCAATACTTGGAAATGAAAACAGAATTTCATGAGTATGAGGAGATACTTGTTTTGCAGATTCCTGAAACAAATCATTTTAATGGCACTTGTAAAAAAAAATGTACGCAGAAAAATATATAGGTTGCGAGCAGTTTTCTATGTTGCTGTGATCTATTAGATCAACCAGTTAGGAGTCAGTTCTCATTGTCATTTCAGGTCACATTTCTATGTTACTTGGGTATAGTTTTGAAACTAGAAAGAACAATAACTTCAGCTGTAGTATATAGTGTTCCAGTGCTTCGAGACGTTACTTTGTGTGAAAGACACTATTTTAAATACAACTTGTTTTGAATGAGCAGACTTGAAAATATCCACAAATGTGTTGATTCAGTGTAGTCCGCTATTGTTACTAATTTATTATGGTAGTGTTAATGTTGACAATTTCATGCTGTTAATTGAACAAAATGGACCTTGCTTACAGATATTAATGTCACTCTTTTTCTCTATTTTAGTTATGAGTTAGTGAAATACTTACGAAAGTATATCGACACAGCACTGGGCTCTGTGATAGAGGAAGAGACTGAAAGATGCACCACGACAGAAGGCCGAACCTTAGGGTCTGGCCAAGACACACTTGTTCATCATGTCACAAGAAAAACACAGGAATCTAGAGAGTAAGTATATGCTCTTGGAATTCTCTTTCATTTCACTCTCTCCTCTCATGATGGATTATGCTTGACATTCCGTAGCAATAAAACAGTTTTAACTTGTTTGTTCCATTGAAATGTTGTAGTCTCTGGGATGCCACCCCGCATGAAGGATGCTATATAAATGCAAGTTGTTGTACTACCAGAATCGGTTACCAATCCTGTTAAATACGGTATCCGTTTAGTTTCAGCTATTTCCATCTGGGTTTAGGGAAATGAAGATGCATTTACCCTCACAATAAAGCAAAGTAATCCAGTACTGCAAAGCTTGTTTGTACTTTATAAAATTATTTTTGACCCAATTATCACAGAGTGACATTTCCATTTTTCATACGATGGCATGTCTTTGCAGTAGGCTAGCAACCACTAGGAAATTAATTTATATTAGCCAATTATGCCTGCTATGGGACCCGTAACAGCCATTTAGGATGAGAGACATTCATCTTTCACAGTTCACTGCCTGAATCCTCATTCTATTGAAATTCAAATTTGGCCCACTGCCTCATATTATAACTAGTTTGTTCGCAGGACTTTGATTTTGTAACTTCTTAGTCCCCTCAGTCTTCCCTTTCCATAATTTACAAGCATTTCAAACCTAACCTTGGTGTCACCTAACTTCTTTATTTATTAAATTTATCTCTCCTGTGCTTTTCAACCTTACTGATGTGATATATCATTGGGCTTTTTATTAAATAAAACCTTGACAGATGTTATAAAGAAGACATTTTCATACCATCAGTCTCAACTGATTTCAATTGATGATATTCCAACACACTAAATCTGGCTTGCAGTATATGTTGTGAATTTATTGCAGAAGAAGTTGACAGAGTAAAAGAGTCAAAGTTTATTGCTGTTTGTGATGCTTTGTTGCAGGTACAAGGAAATGATGCAGTCACTGAAGAACACTATGATGATAGTTGTCGAATCTTTGATCAACAAGTTTGAAGAAGATCAACTAAGGAAAGAAGAACTACACAGAAAAAAGCAACATGAGCAGCGCAGTGATTATTCCATGGATAACTGTTCTGACAGTGGCTCCTCATTCAATCAGGTACAATAATAAAAACATTGATCCGAAATGTGAATATGCCAGTAATAGAATCAAGAGTATCTGAATTGACATAAAAATGTAGCTAAACATATCCACTGGACAATTTGTAAAACTTTGATATTGACATAAAGATCAACTGGTAACAACATCAACCAGCAAAAATGACATCATAAAATAACATTACAGTAATCTGGAACTCACATCCAGATAGAACAATAATCTGTAATAAACCAGATATCATAAAAACCTATATTATACATGCAATATTATTGATGTGGCTATCACAAGTGATTACGACGTACAAAATAAGGAACTAGAGAAGATCAGGAAATATATTGATTTACAACTTGAATGCGATCACATTACAAAATGAGCATACTTATAATCATTGTTGGGACTGGGATTATTAACACGACAATTCAGAAATTGCTTGATAATATACCTGGTGCACAAAATTTCCACCTCCTACATAAAGTGGCTATTTTGGGAAGGATAAATATACTAAGAAAAGTAACATCCATTCATCTGTAGTGTGTCAGTTCTATTAGTCTGGCTGATCCATCGCTGAAAACCACTTAGAAACTACTTCTATGGAGTGATTTAAACTGGAATAACATAATAATAATAATCCTTCATTTAGTATAGCGTTTTTCACATCGGGAGGGTGTATTCAAAGTCCTTTACAGGATAGACTGAATTGTAGTGACTGTTTTGCCAGCAGCCAATTAAAAGTAGTGCCTCTTGTCACAATAGTATTCTTTAAACTGTTAAACTTAAGATAAACTTTGCAATACATTTTCACAGAAACAAACATTTTCCTAATCCAAAAATCATATGAATGCATTTTAGTTTACTTAAAGTGGAGTTACTATCCACTTTTGTCTCAATGTGTAAACAGATAGCTACTCATTTTATATCGCTTGCTAATTTTGACTACCTTCAGGCAGCTCTGTCATCTTTGTTTCCCTGATCTGAGTCAATCTGTACAGCATTAACTGATATCTTACGGTAGACTACTTCCTTAAACAATTGCTACCACATGTGTAAGATGCCTTTGTCCTTGAATTCTTTTCTTGTTCTGCAGTACCAATCCAATCTAATCCAATAATCTTTCCACTGTGCTCACTTAAAGTTGCAAACCATTTATTTTCTTCAATATCTGTAGCCTTCCTCAGCAAACACTCTTCCATCATTCAGACAAACTGATCGTTCACAGGATTAATTTGAATGAAGAAGGTCTCTTAGTCCATTTACTCTTATTCTGCCAGAGAATCCATTCTATTTTCCTCCCATCAAAGCATCACTCCAGTGTCCTGGCCTCGCCCACCCTTCCTTTCAATGGGTGTTCCATTCATTCATTACCCTCTGAGTAAAGAAAAACTTCCCTTTATCTGTCCTAATTTTGCACTTTGCAACTCTATACCTTGTCCTCTTGTTCAAATACCTGACAAATTTTGAAGATTGTCAAAGTTGACAATCCCTGACTGTAAACAGCACCTCAAGATGTCCTCTCGACATGAAAGGCGCTGTACTTTGTTGTTGTTATTCTACTGTCTTGGTGCATTGTAAAGTATTTTTTGAATTCAAGATCCTCGTACTGTGTATATACACAACACAAAACCTGTGAACATATTAAAAAATAATCTTATGTGCTTTCCCTCCATTCAATTTTTTGCCATTTTTTCCCCATTCTTTCCTGAAGGCATTCACTCCTTGCTGGACTATGGTTTCAAGGAAATTGTTTGCCCTCTGGTGGCGATTCTAAACAGTGAGATGCCAGAAAGCTGTTTGATGGTCATTGACTGCATGAGCCCAGCCTTTAATCCTCATTAAAGGATTTAGTTTTGTAAATGTTGTAATTCATTATAATTTAATGTTTTGCTGCAGAGTTACACCTTTATGAATCAGGAACAATTAGAGATTATAGCAGAAAGACTGGATTCTACCCAGCCCAAGGAGGTGAGAATTATTTTGTGGGATTTGTTGCAGGCTGATACTGGAAGTGTCTGTTTATTAAAAGTCTTTAGTTTGCAGGAGGTAAAAGAAGATTGCAGAAAAGGGTGCTTTCTAAAATTGTAAAAAAATGTACTGTCAAAAGAAGCAGTTCAGTTTTATAGCACTGAAAAATGTTTGCTTCTCTCAGCATTATAGTCTTAACTGCACAGACAGTTGTTTAGTTGAGCATGTATTTTTATTTTGTTACTGCACAGTTGTTCAGTTACACATGGAGATGTATGTGAAATCTTAAAATAATACTTCTTGATATCCAGGTTTCATTTTCATTTGTGCATTTAAAGTTTCTTTGAGTCCTTTGAATCTTAGCGGGAATGGTCTGATTCAATTCACTTTTGTTTTTAGGTTCGACGGGAGGCTCTGCAGACTCTCTGCTGTGCTCCCCCCTCTGATGTACTGAACTGTGAATGTTGGGTCACTCTCCGCAAATGCCTTGCAACAACGCTTTCAGACCCAGATGCTACGCTGAGTGTAATTGATGAAAATGCACCCGTTCACTAAACATTGATAAATAGCTTTTTCAGTTTAGAATTATAGCAATTTTCTTTACAGACATATCTTCAAAGGTGTTTAATTGATTACTAAACATTTTTTCAGCTAATAAGGTACTGAAGTAACTAAATATTCTATGATTTTGTTTTGGTCAACTGGGTGGCCATACGGGTCAAATGGACATATAGAGAAACCCATCACCATCCTTAAGACTATTCAAACCAGACTAAGAGATCCACATACATTTGCCATCCACACGTTGAAATTTTTCCTGTGTCTGAATGGAATACGTATTCTTACCATGGAGCGATGCACCCGACATATCTAATTCTGGAGAGTATTTGGTGCAGGTTGGCAAAAGCCAAGGTTTGGGTTCCCTGAAATGGTGGAGTTTAGCAAGCTGAAACTGCAGCTTGTCAATCAGAGCACTGTTTGACAAGCTACCTGCTGCCACCCTTCTGTTAAGGCTTGTGGGTTAGCAGGAGTTGAGTGGGAAGATTCCCTGCCCCCAAATAATCAGTCTTCCCTTCCAAATTAGCTGATGATGAGCCAGGCTGAATAATCTGTCATCAACAGTGCCTTAGAGTGCTGCGTACCTGTAGTTTGCTTAGTTACCGGCAAAACTACCACAAGGGGGTGACTTGATTCAGGCAATCTGTTGCCAACAATGTCACCTTGGAGGCAGCTCAGCTCCTCTCTTTCCCCATTTCCCAGAAGATAAGAAGCACAATAGAATAAATTGTACAGGATATCTTACAGTAGAATAAGATAAATTGTATTTCTAGCTTTAGGTTTTGTATGCTGTAACATACAAATTTGATTTGTGTTATTGAATTTGATAAATATTAATATTTCTACATGTTACAAAAGGCACACAAGCTGAAGGCTTTGATGTAGTTTGCTTTTTTTCCATTAGGACAAAAGTCTAAGGTTTTATGCCAAAACCTTTTCATCATCACCATTCAACATTACAAGAGAAATCTACACAAGTCTGGGTATGGATTTAAAATCAGCATTTTTATATGTGGAAGAACCTTCTTAAATTATTGAGCTTAAATCCATTGCTTAAAGGAAGACTGTATTTTGGTGTAACTGTAATGCTACAGAGAATTGATAATGAATTATTTTAATCCTGAAATGTAAACTGTGATACCAGTGAGTATCGCAGTCAGTCAGACATTTTGTGGATTGAACTTCAATTACAAGCTAACTCAATAGCACGAGTGTAAAACTAGCAGAAGTAGTAAGTAATAGTCTTTGCGCTTGATAACGATCACTCTCAGAGGTGAATCTTCTCTCATCTAGTTGTCAGAAAGGCATAGGTTCAAGCCCCACATGAGTAAGTTGAGCTCCTATAGTTTAGGCTGGCAATGAAATGCAGTATTGGAGAATGCTGTTTTGTGGAAGAAGCTGTCCTTCGGAGAGACGTTAAACTGAGGTCTCTTCTGCCTGTTTTCATGTGGCTAGAACATGTGGGAACTCCATTCACTTTTCAATTACTGCAATGTTGTTTGTTATTTACAAACAGCTAACACATTTGCCTACTAATACACAGTTACTTTCACCTTACAGAAAACTCTGTAAAGTATTTTCAGAAGTGCTACATCAAAAGCGAGAATTATTACATATTACAGTGCAGACACTTCTTTACAGAACAAATGTGATTGTATTGCCGTCTCACTGTGGACTCCATCACTGTCTATGCACACAGTTGGCCTACTTGCTTCCAGTGTGCTGGTCGGTGTTTGTGCTAAAATGATTGATATCCACATGCACAGCAGACTGGAAGTGACATTGGTGGTGACCTGATGTCCTGGATGTTGTATGGGAATCGGCCAACTGCATGCATGTACAGTCACACCTCACTATTATAAATCCTAAACTACAGTATTATAATAAGGCTCCACTGTACTCTATCTGTGACTGCAACAGAATTAATTCTCAGCCAAAATTTTAATTCTTAATAAAGCAATTAAAGTCACATATATTGCTGGCAGGAACATTTTTAACTGAGCTATGCACTGATAGTTTCATATTTTCATCGATGTTTCATACCCACCTTCTAAATTCAGGCCATTAGTTTCAGCTTCTTGGCCTATTAGCTTTGTTTTTAAACAAACCCTTTTGGACTGGCACAAATCAGTAGGGATATATAATAATAATAGTCCTTACATTTTGATGTTAAAGGTTGATGTTAAAAGAGAGGGTATTGCCATAACCTCTTATGTAGGAACATAGGAACAGAAGTAGACCATTCTGTTCCTCGAGTGTGTTCCGCCATTCTGTTAGATCATGGCTAATCTATACCTCAACTCCCTTTAATCGAGTTTGCCTCATATCCCTTGATACCCTTACCTAACAAAAATCTATCCACTTCAGTCTTAAAAAATTGAATGGATCCAGCATACAAAGGCTTTTGGGATTATTGTTATTGCAAATAAATGTTGATATTGGGGCTACAAAAATATTTATTATATATGTACAGAAATTACACTGCGGCCATTATATATTATGTTGTTTGGGATCATAAAATCCAAACCCATGATCCAACATGGGACAATCGTGGTTTTTACTGCACATGCACTCCAGCCAATGGAACACAGGAACATAGGAATTAGGAGCAGGAGTAGGCCATTCAGCTCCTTGAGCCTGCCCCGCCATTCAATAAGTGAACAGGGAGCATGCTGACTGGTTCCCTCACTGAAATAAAAAATGTCCAACTTCCAGGTGGCAGGTGTGGGGGGCACGGCAGTGTTACTTCCTGTTATTTGTGTGGAGAATGATGTTAGCTGCAACCTGATGAACTATTTAGGGTCCTCACTGACACAGCGTGATAGCAGATTTGGGGCTTTTATGAATAGCTTACAGTGGGGCTGCACTGTACATGTTTAATTTTGCTAAATTACTTCAATATTTCCAATCCCTGTTTCTACAATACATGTGTTAATTTTAAGTCTGTTTCTTTGTAGCTAAGCATTTGGAGTCCTGCTTTACATCACAGCAAAGTCAAATTCCCACTCTCTCTGCTGGTGTGGATATCACAAATCCTGACATTGTGCGGCTGCTTAAAAAGGTAGCCTCAGAGTTTGTAAACTGTATATTATTTTCTTTGGCTTTTCAATGGTGCAAGTTGAGTTTTTAAGGTAAAAAATTCTTAATATTTAAAATTCCTGACATCTTTTTACAGTTTCGTCTCCTTAATGAGTTCCAGAAAGAAGTTCACTTGTTTTGGATACGTCATCCAGAGAAGTATGTGCCAATATTTTAATAGTTTTCTGAGGGATTAGAAATAAAGCATGAATTATAGGCTTTCGCTAATGTCTTAATCATTTCACGTTCTGTGGCCTATAAGTCTTGATAATAGAATGCTTAATCATATATAATGTAATCTAATAACTGAAAAATTCAGCAAAAATTCATCACAGAAATTATAACAAATGACAAGCCTCGCAAATATGTGCTCGTAATTTATGGTTTTATGTTTTATGTTTTTCCTGCAAGTAATATATATTGCTTAGCTTGTCATAATAACATTATAGCATAAATAATGCTACATTGCACGTACCAATACCTAAAATCTGTTTCAACATTTAATTTTTTGTCGCAGTGTTACCAGCAGTTGTAAATCCTCTATATCAATTTTTAAAGGTTCATGGAGGAGATTGTGGAGAGCACTCTGTCTTTGTTGTCAGTAACTCATGAGCAGAGTCCGAGAGTCGATTCCTCATACCCTGTGCTGGAGCCTATTTACTTCCTGGCATTGTTGGATATAAAAGCCTCCTGGTTCAAGAAATGGATGGTAAATAATAAGTTAAAACAATTCTTTGATGGAAAGGGAAGCAGACTATAAAGTATAACAGAATCAAAGGTATAACTAAATTCTAATCAATCAATATGCTTATGCTGATTATTGCTAAAGAAGGGTTGTACTTAGGTTAATTTCTTAAGGTACTGTGTTATGCAGTGGTTAGGCTATTGTTAATTCACCTCTGGGACCTGGTATTTAAATCTATTCTAAATTGTTGGCATAAAATAGCTTTCCCTGGCTATGAAACATTCATTAAACTATTCACAGCACAGGCATTATAAGGCGTATTACCTCCTTTTTTGCTGAAATTTCTATGATTCTATTGCAGTGTTTGTAAGCTGAAGTAATTTGAGTCCCACATCGTTGTTGAAGAAAAGACAGAAAAAATGTCCAGTATTTGATTCTGAATTTTAAATCAATGACTAAACTCACAGTACTTGTCGAGCACTGTATAACCATTAGAGCTTTGACTCTCAAAATTGAAGACATTCCTTTGAATCACTGTTATATGTGATGATGGATATTCTAAGTGCTGCTGTATTTAGGGCATTACATTTTGCTCTGGTGGCATACCTTTTCTTAGGTGGAGGTAATAGAAAATCTGATGCCAAAGAGGTAACTTAATTGCTAGGAAATTTGGATTTTATTCATTACAGGCTGCCAAGTTGCAAACATTTTGGTTTTTACTTTTCAAAAAAGATGAAATCTTGGACAAGGCTCCCTTTGCATTATTTCTCCATTGTACTATTTGCTTATTCCATTCCAGCTATTTTTGTGGCCTCTTTTAGTGAGAGTATCAGGAGCTTTGAATTGTGGACTGACAGCTACTAGGTACTGCATTAAGACGACCCAACTTAATTTCATCTAACATCCCATCAGCTGAATTTAAACCTAGGCCATGGGTCAAAGATTCACATATACTGCACCATCTATTTCACTGTCAGTAAGTAACAATGCTGACATCTATATGTGAAATAGTCTTAATGTGCACACATATAACGCATACAGCTTTTTGTAGCTTTATTTCTACACCTAAACTTTTGCTGGCATAAGATAGTTTTACCCGGCTATCAAACAGCTGTGCTGTCGTCAGCAGTGCCCTGGAATACTATAGACCCACCTGGCTCAGGAATCGGACTACCGATAATAGAGAGATGGCTTGATTCCGACATTCCATTGCCAGGCATGTCACCTTGGAGCCAGTTCAGCTCCAAGGAGACACCGCAATTGCTAATATATCTAATTAAAAATACAATATAATAATAATCCTTGCATTTGATATAGCGCTTTTCACGTCGGGAGGACGTCCCAAAGCGCTTCACAGAAAACACTGGAAAGTGAATTGACTGTATATTTGTGGGCGAACGCGGCAGCCAATTGCGCACAGCAATGTCCCACAAACAGTCGTAGATTGAAAATGACCAATTTATTATTGTTTTTGGTTTTGGAGGGATTATTATTAGGTGTGTGGAGTAAGGAAACTTGCCCAAGGTTTCTCCCTGCCTGGAATTGAACTCAGGTCTCTCACTTGCAAAGCGAGTGCTCTAACCACTGAGCTACAGGACTCCACAAATATACAGTTAGATGCCATTAATAGTGCTTAGCATTGCAGATATGAATATAGCATTTGGAGAAATTGTTACAGATGAATCATTATTATACTTCAAACTATCACTTGGATCTTAATGGAAAGTAATTTTGTGGAGCTGTGATGGGATATGATATGTGGCAACTGCATTTATTATTGATAGCACTGGGTTAGCTGTTAACTACTGATTTCAAGTACTTAACTTTGTACCTAAAAATCAACAAAGGACTGTTGTCTTAAGTTTTTTTTATATAGGATCAGCCTTAAGTTCTATGAGAATATGAATGTAATTTGTTTCCATTCCATAGCACGGTTACTACAGCAGAACAGTGGTTCTCAGACTCCTTGAAAATAAATACAAGTCTTTGGTAAGTCTTTTAGGATTAAGAATCAAATCTATATAATAATAAATCTCTGATAACACCAGTTACACGTGACTAGCATGTCAGGTTTAAATCGTGATGTCCTTGCTCATCTGTAAGTGTTAACTATTTCTTTATTTTTAATCCTACATGGATTTATGTAATGAAGAGGATTATGAAGCTGTATTCAGGAAACCAGAAAATTGAAGAAGTAAAAGGAAATCCATTCTGTTATAGTAGACAGTACTGGATCTCCAAACTTTAAGGAAGCTTCACCAAATCCTCTTTGTAAGCTTCGTTTTGATAACTACTAGTTGATATGATACAAACCCAAATAAAAATCTGTTTTCAATAATTTTATTATGTGTTTTAGATGCTTGAACTTCCACCTAAACTTAGCCTGTAAGACCATTTTGTCTTAAAATATAAAACTGCTCATAATTGTGGAAAATTCTTAAGTTTACTCTTAAATCGGAATCTTGTTTCCTACAGTTCTTCAGAAACCATTTTCAAAATTTGACTGAATTTAGGAATTTTCCAGAATTACATTTGATCTTTAGTTTTAAGACAGAATAATTTTACACTCAGTGGAACTTTAAGCCACAGAAGCCCAGTAGCTATTACATGTTAATTGGTTCCTGACACAGGCTTCCCTGATGTGTCGCACACAATTGATGGAACACTAAAATATGCCTAATTCATCTACCATGTCTTTCAAGAACAGACTTATAAATATAGTTTATTCTTTTAATCCAGTATACTCGAGGTTTTATGCTTCCTTGTTTGTTGTAACAAAAATGGGAATCAAGCTGTACAGAGCAGGTGGTCTTGTTATCCTGGTGTTGGTTTGCAGTTTAAATAAAATGAAATTAGCTAAATATGATTTAGTAGTACTATCATTGATACAGCACCATTTTATCATTGATAAAAATCACCTCACTTAGCTAATGATGATAATATATCATGCATATTATTCTATTCTGTCCTTAACAAAAAAGTTAACCAAGGCTAGAAAAAATGTCTTATGTCTGCCATGGAGAGGCAGTAATAACATTGTATATGTTCTTTGCAGTGATTATATGTCCCAATGCTTTAAATCTTGCTTAAATCATGCTTTCATGTAATAAGGGTAGTGATTGGATCTTTCTGAGAGAACAGGAAGCTTAGGAAACTGATTTTCATCAGAGACAGTCAGCGTGGCTTTAAAAGTAGAAGGTTGTGCTTCACACATTTAACATATTTATTGGATTTCTTTGAGAAAGCTGCAGACCTTGTGGATAAGGTGAAATGGTTGATGTCATTTACCTGGATTTTGAAAAGCATTTAATTCTGTTCCACATAGCAGTGTTATTAAGTTCAGGCCTATTGGGTAGATGAAAATGTATTAAACTGGATTAGAAAATATCTATGAGAACACCGTATATCTATAAAAAGCAACACGTATTAGTGCATGTGGACATATTCAATTGGTAGCCAATAGTTAATTGTGTGCCATAGGGGTTGTTGCTGGTACTGTTATTTTTTAGTAAGTATTACTAATTATTAGTAGTTATTAACTAGTAAAATGACCCAGCATTTTAGAACACTTATCTGGGCCTGTAGAAGCAAGTCTTGTTGTCCTGCTGTTGGTTCATAAAGCAAGTAAACTGTTGGTAGCAAGTGGATTTATTATTTGTGATTGAGTCTGTGTCTTCTGTTTGTCTGTGTGTGGGTCTCTTTGCCCCTCTTTATCCCAATCCTGTTTCACTTTGGGTTGTTTGCTCTGTGTGTGTCACTGTCTGTCTCTCATTGGTTTTGCTGTTTTGTTCAGGTTTTTGTTTTTGCAACATATTGATTTTTCCATTGAATGAGAGCCCTTTTGCGAGACATTATATTGAATAAAAGTAGTTCTTTTTAACGTAATTTTGTTATAAGAAGAGCTTTTTTTTCCCCTTGGTGTTTTCCTTGTTTAAAATCTAAGTAAATGGTAAACATAGCAAAGGTAGCAGCTTTGACATCACATCCTCTGTGATGTGCATGCGTAGGAAATAACAAAAAGGGTGGTAATTTTGACTAAGGATCCCTTTCAATACAGTTTAGAAGTTAAAACAATTGGAAACTATACTTCCTGAGATATAACATTCACCTGTCACTTCTAATCATGGTGTATGAGGATTTTGCCAGGCAGAGCAGGGTGAGTTTATGAAATTTTATTTTCACGTGTTTATTAAGTTGGATATTGTGTTTATTAAGACAAAAAGTTTTTCTGATGTTCAACAACAGCAACTTATATTTATATAGTGTCCTTCATATGAGGAGCACATCACAAAGCACTTGACACAGCTGACTGGGAGCCTGGAATGGAACAGTTGTAACTGTGCTAACGTACATTTTAAATACAATGCAGCCCCATTCTAGGACTAGTTTGTTTATAGTCCGTACCCTATTGATTGGACATTAGACATGGGCCTAGCAGACTGGCTCACTTCCCATATGCCGTCTGGCTCCTGCCATAAAAATGGCTGATTACTAGGTCCCCACTGACATCAGTGTCTCTGTGCTGCACGTGTTTCCCCTGCACATATCGTGCCCTCTTTAGAGGGCAGGTAAGAATTTTATGAATCCGAACTGTTGCCTTATAATGAGACTCCATTGTATATTGGAACCATTCACCATCTCTAAAGGGGGACTTGAGCAAGGCTGTGTGCATGCACAAAATAAGTCACTTTGACCTTCTGTTTGCTTTGGTGATTGATGAAGCTCTGAAAGATCTGAGTGCAAGTGCATTTATTATATTTTGTACATCTGACAAACTCTTCAACTTAAGCGAACTCAATCACTCGACCAAGGTCATTGAGGGCCTCTTTCATGAACTCCTGTTTGCTGATGACTTACTTATAATTATAACATAACATGTAGGAGCAGGAGTAGGCCATTCGGCCCTTTGAGCCTGCCCTGTCATTCAATCATGGCTGATCTTCTAATCTAACTCCAGCTAATAACCTAACCCTGCTTTATCCCCATAATCCCTTAATCCCATTTGCAATAAGAAATCTATCTATCTCAGTCTTGAATATGTTCAAGGACTGAGCGTCAACAGCCCTTTGGGGTAGTGAGTTCCATACATTCACCACCCTTTGAGTGAAAAAGTTCTTCCTCAACTCAGTGCAAAAGGGCTGGCCTCTGATTTTAAGGTTGTGACTCCTGGTTTTAGTTTCTTCAACCAGGGGAAACAATCTCCCTCTATCTATTTTATCATGCGCTTAGGTTTCTATAAGATCCCCTCTAATTCTTCTATATTCCAGAGAATATAGGCCCAAATTGGTCAGCCTATCCTCGTAACTCAACCCCTTCATCCCTGGCACTAACCTAGTAAATCTACGCTGCACCCCCTCCAAGGCAAGTACATCCTTCCTTAAATGAGGAGACCAAAACTGCACACAGTATTCCAGGTATGGTCTCACCAGGGCCCTATACAGTTGCATCAAGACTTCCCTACTCTTATACTCTAATCCTTTCAATGAATTATGAATTTGTGACACACACCAAAGATTATTTTAAACCCTCCCAAATGCTTCCTTGAGTGAAAGGCCCCATATAAAAATGCAAGTTGTTGTAATCTACAAGCCTTGTTGTTGTCAACCTGTGCCTAATACTCCCTGGAATTAGGTAAGCAAACATGGAAATATCAATGTGTAAGTGGTTATGTAAGGACCTCTTTAGTCTCTTTTGGATACCCTTAAGCATGGTAATGGGTTTTCACATGTATCAAACACCTGGCTGACCAAAAAAGAAAATCTGCAATTAACCATTCAAGGTATTTGCAAAAGTAGCCATTAATTATACAAATGTAGAGCCAATTTGGTTTATTTTTCTGACAGCCTTAGTCCTGGACTCGGTATATTAGCAACCTCTCTTGATGTGATGGTTGCTGCCCTCTCAATGTTTTTCTTGATGGCTTATTCACAGCATAAAGAAAATAGAGATGATATGCTATCTTGCCCAGGTAAGCAGTACACCAAACCATTTCTCACTGTTGACCACAAGTTTAAAGCCCTACTGCATTGCATATACTGTATGTGAAAAGCATGCTATTGAACTCAGAACTATTAACCAGAAAATGTTCACTTGCAATTGGAAAGTTGGTCTTTTGGCAAACTTTTAAAAAAAATGTTTGAAACATACAGAAACTTATCATGGTTCAGGGCTAACCAAACCAGACTGAGAGTTCCATACATGCATGTCGCCTATGTGTGGAATTTTCACTTTGTGCAGGTTGGATCACGCTAACCGTTAGTCTCTGCTTTGGTCTGCAGGTTTAAAAGGAACTGAGTGGGAAGTATCCCAAAGAGTGACTGGTCTGCCCTCTAAATCCTGTCGATGAGCAAGGCTGGCTGGTCTGTCATCGATAGTGTCTTGGAGTAATGTTTTGAAATAGGGAAAACATCTAAAAGAATTTTTAAGAAATGTGCAGCAATTCTGGTTTTGTACTAGAAATGGAAATAAAATATTGTTGCAATTGATATAAAATGTTAGGAAGGTCACACAGACCATTAATATTGGAAGGGTTAAACTGAACTTCACTGTCACACCAACGCTTTAATCAATCAAATTTTTTTTTTACAGATAGCCGCGTCTGTTCACAGTGCCTAGATTACTTTGATTCAGGTAATTTAGGGGATGACGGGACTGGCAATTTAAATATCAAGATGCATCAACATCACCTAAGTGAGTAACTTTGTCAGCCATAGTCATATATTCAAAGCAATACACTGGAAAAGATTGTCTATCTAATTTAAATCTATTGTCAATCTATTTTAATATTAAGTTATGAAATAAAGCATATGAGGAGCAGTGGATTGTTTAAGATAACTATTGGAATTTTTCTTTATTTTCATAAAGAGAGACATTGTATACAAACTTGTTGATAATCCTGTTGTGTTTCTTGTATTTAAAGATAACAGTGTACGTAGGACATACTATACAAGGCATGAGCTGCAATATATTTACTTTATCCATTCACTTTGCCTTCTGGGAAGATTACTGATGTACACACATGGAAGGAAGCTATTTCCGGTGAAGGTGAAAAACAGAAAAGGTAACAAATGTTCAAATGTGCTACTGAAGTCTGTACAATGAAGATTAAAACCGCTAAAAACCCAATTATAACAAGATTCACTATAATGTGAATTTGCTTATAGTGTGGTTGCTCTGTGGACTGTTCACTGCACATGTGCCCAGCTTACCTGATTGCTTCTCACGTGCCAATTGGTACTTCATGCTAAAATGGATGACTTCTGGGTCATCAGGGAACCTTCAAAATTACATGCACAAAGCAGGAAATGACGTTGGTCTACTTAATTATCCGGAAATCGACCATTTAATCTTTTAGCATGGGTAACAGTTTGGCAATTGGGGAGTGAGTCAGCTGGCTGCACGGATGCACAGTCTAACTCTCTATCCTGCCTCATATTCTGGATTGTGATTTAATTAAGCCCAAGTCCTCTACCCCTAGTACTATCAAAATCAGTTTCTCACTTTGCCGTGTGATTCCTCTCAATTCTTCAGGTTTGATATCTTATCCAATTTCTTTCAACTGCTGTAGTTTAATCCGTTCTGTGTGCGCAGTTCGCCTAAAGATTTCTGATATTTGAAAACATTTTATTTCAGAGGCTAAGCTCCCCCCTATTTATCAATTTGGGCAATATGTAACCAATAGAAACATTCTGCCATTGAATTACCCTTACGCCCACAAAATATACAGTCAATTAATTTTACAGTATATTTTGTGAAGCACTTTGAGACTTCTTGAAGATGTGATAAGGCGCTACATTGAATGCAAGGATTATTATTACTCCATTTGAATGATGCCTAGCCTCTATTCATGTCAACAAAGCTGAGATGATCATATTTATACTGCAGAGTGTGAATCAATGTGCTGCCAAAATGATCTTCTCAAGGTGATCTCGACCACCAAGCCTATATTATTTACTTTTGTTTGAATTTATCAAAATGCTTTGTTCCTGCACTTTCAAAGTAATTCAAAGAAATATGTGCATAAAGTGTGCGAAAAGTGACACAAGCAAAATTAGGCACATCCTTTTATACTTTGAATTTTCAATTCAGTATGGTCAATTGTATAATTCTAGGTTTACCAGCATCAATCTAATTTTGCACCCTGAACACAAAACTCAGCAATCCACTGGAGCATCAATTGGGTTTTACTGCTGCTGACTGCAAACTGCCTTTAAATTTAAAACACATTTATATTGATGTTGGTGCTGTACACACTTAGTTGCACATGTGAACATTTTCTAGTTCAGGTATTTTAAAGGGAGTATTATAATGTAGCCTGATATTACTACAGTACTTAATTGCTTCATATAAATTCATTTATAACACGGATACACTATGGAGCCCATTTATCCACTCACTTCCCACATGTGGACTGGCTTTTCCTATTAAAATGTCTGGCTTCTGGTTCAATTGTTTTTCAGTTCCTGCTTTGCTGCGTCTGTGCCTAATAAAATGTGATTTTGTCAGTGACCTAATACCCATAATTTGCCAATTTTAATTTCTCATGCTAAAAAATTACAGACTCAGGTTTTCGTATCACAAAGCCAATGTCACTTTCCGCATTGTACATGCCTGGAAAACCAAAAGTCATGTAGGGTGACCCACTGACTTAGAAGTCGGCAATTTGCTTTACTTTTAGTGTATGTACAATAAAACCAGCTTTTATGGATACCAAATGTAGTATAATGTAGTAGCGATGAAGAAAAAAATCTCCAAACAATGAAGGGTGAAGGAAAGGGTGAAGGAAAGTAATTAGTCAAAGTTAAACTTATATCCTTTGAAGAGGATATATTTGTAACATTTATTTTAAATTAAAAACAAAATTTTTATCAATGATTTCTTGGATTGTCAAAAAAGGCAATTGTATAAAATTTTATTATCTATGAAAATTATGTCTTTTTACTCATTATTTTCTATATGTTAAATCCTGCAGTAGTTTGTTTAGCGATAAAATGGGTTAAGCATGTTTGACAGACTTATTAATTATATGCAGATGATTAGCACTCCAAGATGCTATCTGTGTGAAAGCTGCTATATAAATGCAAGTTGTTGTTGTTGATTAATTTTTGGTTAAATTCTAAAAATGACTTTCTTTTACACACAGATTTTCTGATATAGTTAAAGATAAACATTAAAAAATATCTGTCCTCATACTTTGAAAACTAACCTACAGATTATAAAGTCTAAGGGCAAATAGTATCCAACATTATGAACTATTATGGGATAAAATGGTAATGGATAGAAAATGTGATCTACTGTCATAAATCACATCATTGGAAAGTGCAGTTGAAACTTGTCTTTAACTGTCGACAGTTTGGTGAGAGAACATCTCTTGAATTCTTAAGACTTTGGTTTAAAACCTGAAAGTTTTTCACCACCGTCTTGTGGCTTTCAATCTTTTAATTGGCTTCGGAAATATTGGCTTCAGATTAAACCATTGAGTCCTGCAGTGGGAGGGGAGGGTAGTGTTCATTTTCAATCCTCTTGATAGTTTTGAAACCAGTTTGTATTGCACTTCAGGCAATTCCAACTATTCGCTCACAAAACACATAGTCACTGCACTTTACAGTATATCCTGTGAAGTACTTTGAGATGTTCTCTCAACATGAAAGGCACTTACCGAGTGAAAGGATTAATATTAGAGGAGGAACCACAAATAAAGACAACCACAGCAGAAAATATGCCCATTGTGCAAAATATTTGTTGTTGCCTGTAGTTACAGTAATGTCAACTGTTGCTTTTCCTTCTGAATTTGCGAAAGTTTGAAGTTTGATTCGTTGTATTGTATCAATAGCCTGATAACTTTGCCAAGATAAAGCAAGTGAATGTGGAAGGCAGTAACAATAGCAAGTAGTCTGTTTTATCAAAGGAAGTTTAAGAAGATAATTCAGTGACAATAATCACTTATATTTGATATAGAGCAGACCTTGTATTTCTCGTCCCTATTTAACAACATTTTAATAATAATAATAATAATCCTTGCATTTGATATAGCGCTTTTCACGTCAGGAGGACATCCCAAAGCGCTTCACAGAACACACTGTAAAGTGAATTGACTGTATATTTGTGGGCGAACGCGGCAGCCAATTGCGCACAGCAATGTCCCACAAACAGTCGTAGATTGAAAATGACCAATTTATTATTGTTTTGGGTTTTGGAGGGATTATTATTAGGCTCTGTGTGGAGTAAGGAAACTTGCCCAAGGTTTTGCCCTCTGCCTGGAATTGAACTCAGGTCTCTCACTTGCAAAGCGAGTGCTCTAACCACTGAGCTACAGGACTCCTCGAGAAATACAAGGTCTATATTTTACTATTTAACCTGAATATATTTAAGTCATCTCATGTATCCAACTAAATTTGATATCTCAGAATTGACATGCCTCATCAGTGATCTGAGATCTATTGATATAAATATAATTTTGAAGTGCAAATTAAACATCTAGTAGCTTCTAGAGAAAGCTCTAATTAACAGTTTTCTGTACCTTTTTTTGATAGATATCTTGTTTAAAATGGAATAAAAAAAGAAGCTAAATGCCATGTATTCATTACAAGATTAAAACTGTAAAGTGACATATGATTTGCTTCTTTGAATTAGAACCAGTGTCTCTGATGGATTTATTAGTGCTGTTAATTCGCATGATGTACCAAAACTCAAACTCAACACAAACTGGAACTCTTTTGCAAACAGGTAAACAGGAAGTTCTCTGATATTTTCTGGATACAAAATGTACATTATTGGACATTGTTGACTTGAATACTTACTTGAAGTATTTATAATTGTTTTCAGATTCTTATCTGCCAGCAAATCTTGTGATGGAAGTTCTGCGCATGTTATGTGGCCGAAAAGAATGTGCCACAGAGTGCCTCTACAGAAGTATTGTTATTGATTCCCTCCTCTTTCCAATCTCCACATTACTAAAAGGAAAGCAGGTCAGGTCACTTCTATGCAATTCTATCAATTATTGGGCTTTGGTGCATAATTATGACAGTAGCTTCCTCAATTCAGCCCCATTATAATGCCGTGTTTGGGATCCATAAGATCCCACCAAGCATTACTGCAAGACGACAGTAGTTGGTTTGACTGTGCGTACCATTAAATTTCCCACCTAAAAAAGTGTTCAGATCATTGTACTACCGGTCACTTCATGTTTGCTGCTCATGCGCAAAGTGGGAAATAACATTGCCAGTGACTCGATGATGTAGATGTCAAAACTTTTTCTTAGTATAGAAAGCTGAAATGGCGGCTTTCCAGGTCAATACGTCACTGCCAACCTCACTTCCTATTTTTGAAAATGTTCAGCGAATTATTGAACGTTTTGGAGTGAAAAGCCAATTGGCATGTGGGAAGCATGCTGTAAACATGTATTGAGTTGAGAGACCTTAATTCAACCAGGCAGGTCTGATGATTTCTGGAGTAATTCATAACATCCCCCAAGCCACAAAATTGATTTTTTGCCTTAAACTGACATTTACCTTATACACCAAAGTTACTTTAAAAATTGAACATCGATCTTTGTGTGTTGTGCAGCCAGCAGACATAATAGAGGCAGTGTAATGTAGATGGAAGAGGAATAAAGATAATACTGACATAGTGCCTAGGCGTATGGAATTGGCTTTGTGATTATATGTTTAAGCTTTGGTAACAGAATACAAGAAAGCTGTCTGTATAATGTTTTGTTTGAAATTGTTTTTGTTTTAATTTTCTGGTCCAAATATTTAAATTTCCCATTTCAAATGCCATTCATGGGACCTGGATACAAGTCTCCATTTTCTGCTAACTGAATCAGCACTTGGATTATGGGAACATAGCATAAAATCTACCATGATTTGGCAAAACATGACAAATCACACTAAGATTATTAAGATTCATGATGTAGAAAGATTTATTCACTTTGGTGTAGTAGAAAATACTTTTCTGAGTTTGGGATTAATGCATCTTTTCAGTAGAACACAGGAGATTTTACTTTGCATTTTGGTTGGTTACACATGAGCTTGGAGTCCTTGATAGTTTTTTTAGCTTTGAAATCATAATAATATTGACTTGCATTTATGTAGTGCTTTTCATGTAAAATTATCATTTCAAAGCACTTCACAACATATATTGGATTAGAAATGAAGTGAATGTTATATAGGCAAAGCTGGCTGCTAATCTCTGCAAGCAGTAGAACTCATTGCTTGAAATTGTAGTTGACGCAAAAAGTATCAATGTATTTAAGAGAAAACTTGATGCAAACATGGAGAAGGGAACAGAAGTGTATAGTTCACGGAAATAGATGGGGTGGAGGCTCATATGGAGTCTGTTTCTGACCATAACGGTTTGTATCAATGTCCCACACAACAACAAACAACTTGCATTTATATAGCAGCCTTCATTTACAGGCTCAAAGTGCTCATTGTCATGAGCAACAATGAAATGAATCACCAAATAATTTTAATTTGGGGTAAATTTCGATTAGGAGGGGAATAGAAACCAGGATAACTGGAGGCAGACTCAATGTTTCTGTCACTTTGTGACTTGACAAAGTTGGAATGCCTGTGTAAAGGGACTTCTATCCCCTTCCCTCCCCACAAGAGAGCTGTCGGGCGCTATAGAAATCCAAGTTGTTGTTGTTATAAAGGGCAGGGGGCGGGTGGTGGGGGTGGGGGCTTTGTAAATATGTCAACCACAAGGCAAATTGAAACCCAAATGAATTAACCAGTGAGAACCCAGACAATGTTTTGGAGATAAATAATAAAATTGTATATAAGTGAAAGTAAAACAACCAGCAATTATTATAATACTAATTTGTTTGCATTGAATAGGTGGCAATTGCCTCTGATGAAACAATCCTGACAAACATAGCAGATATTTTGGCAAGGATTGCCTCCACTGACCGAGGGCTTTCACTGCTCCTTTTTGGTGAAAATAACAAACGTGCTGAAGGAGACAGGTAAAAATGTATATTAAAACTTGGTGGAAGTCACAATACAGTATTAAAGATGCTGAATAGCAATGTGGTTCCAATATTGCCTATTATCTTTGAAGCGCAGGTCAAATGTTGATAATATTACATGTAAAGTAATAATAATAATCCTTGCATTTGATATTGTGCCTTATCACATTGTTGAGACGTCTCAAAGCGCTTCACAGAATATGTTGTAAAGTGTGTATTTTGTGGGCAAAAAGTAAGTCCAAGTCAGTAGCCTTAACTTAATTCCTATTGTTGGCTAGTTATTATAACAGAAATACCGATTGGACATTTCTCCATTTTTACCTAATTTTTGTCACTAATTCAGTTTACACAAGTGTAACCTATTTTATGTCCATTTATTTTACCACCTGGCAGAAAATATGCCAACTTGCTTCTATGTTCTACTTTATATTAATTCTGCTGGCAAAGCAAATAAATATCTTTGCCTACAATTACACAAGCGGTACACTTACCAGTAACATTTTGTGAAGCGCTTTGAGGAGGTCTTCAAAATGTTAAATATGCGATACCAGATACAAGTTTTAATATTATTCTTGATTTCACATTTCATCACCTAGCACTTCCCTATCTCTCAGATGTCCTCTTCCATTCCTTGGCTTAGCTGGCTAACTCGGTTTTGTTGCAAGACCCCACTCTCTCCACCTTGGTGGCCAAACTTTCAGAGTCTATGCCCCTAACCTCTCCCTATGCCGCGAGGATCTCTCTTCCTGTACCCTTCCTGCTTGCTTGGAATCTGACCACATCATTGTAAAGTACTCTGAAATGTTATCCTATCTGAAAGGCACTATATAAATGCAATTTTTTTTTCTCAAGAACTCTTTAATTCTTTATAAATCGAAATCCATTCAAGGCCGGTTCACTGCTCCCACATCTGCTGAAGCAAGCTCTCTTGCACTCTCAAAAAAGTAAAAGTTTGTTATAATTCTGTGTTGTGTTAATTCTTTCATCACAAATCTTTCCCACTATCTACTCTTCTCCATCTCTCTCTCTCTCTCTCCTTCACTATCTCACACACAAAAAACAGTCTTGTAATTTTATTTCATGAATACAGTTATTATTGTTCCTACCACCTCTCTCCAATTGTGCTGTCTTACATTCTGTTGAAATTAATATATATTGTTTCCAAAGACAGACCTTAAGATTGCTTGTTGTTTTGAAAATTATAGAGAATATCTATATTTACTCTTTCTAGGTAAAGAAATTTATATCCTTGATTGAAACAAGTTTTCCTTTGCCGAGTTGAATACTCTTACATGTGGTGATGAGTTTCTGCATATTTCAGACGCCCAGCTGACCAAAAAAAATCCTGAGTTTGGAGATATTTTAAATTATGTATGCAATCCATCACAACATTTGTTTTTTCTCTTTGTTGCCAGACTTTCTGCTGCACAAATCATTGCCGACTTTACTAAAAAGTTGCTTGATGGAGAGCTTCCTGCTTTAGCTTCATCTGAACCATCTCCAAGTCTGAAGGGAGCTTTCATCTTTGTATGTCGTCAAATGTACAATACCTGTGAAGGTCTAGAGGTGCTTATGCCTTATGGGCTACATAAATCCATCTCCATGGCATGGAAAAAGGTAAAAATGTTAATTGCATGAAATTGCTAGTACCAACAGCTTTGTTGGCTATATTTTGTTCTTGCATTTTATATTGCGAGACTCACCATTACTTTTTCAAAAAAAAGGGTTGCAAAGAATATTTACTGGTTTCGTCTATAGATTTTTCAGCTTTTGGTTCACTGGCGAGTGCTGGTGACATTGAACAAATTCATAGGCATGAGTTATTGATCACGTTGAGGGCACTGAATTAAAATGAGTAACGATTAGACAAGTTAGGGCTCCTAAGACTTGAAAGATGTCTCCTAGGGGATTTTTATAGAAATAAGTAAAATGGAATTGAGAAAGTAAATGCAGAACAATAATTTCAGATGTACCAAAACAGGAGAACAAAAGAAAGCATTTCTTTACTCAGAGGGTAGTTAATGACTGGAACAGATTACCAGGAAGGGTGGCTATGGACACATTTTAAAAAAACAGCTTGATGTTGTGATGGGAGGAGGGTGGGGTAGTTTTTTTCTGAAAGAATAAGATCAAATGGACTGAAAGCATGTTCATTTGAACCTTTAGTATAATCGTGTGAATTTCAGTAGATACAATTATTAACCCATGGTGTTTCAGTATAACTTCTGAAGACTTTTTAAAAAAATTTACATAAAAAGCTGAATAAAATTACAATACAATATAATTTAGATTTTATATAGCGTTTGCACACGGGAGGATATTTCAAAGCACTTCACAGTTGCTGGACCAAAAGTGTGGTCAAAAAGGTATATTTTTAAAGATGCCTTGAAGGATAGGAGGAAGGGATCGAGTTGGATGGACTCTGGGATGCAATGCCAGAGAACATTCAGAGTAGTTGCAAGCCCGCCTGTCAATGGTGGGTTAGATAGGGTAGGAGACACGAAGCAAGCTGGTGCTCACTGAACGAAGGGATCGACTCAGTTGACATGCTTGAAGGAGGTCATAGAGGTAGGGTGGGGCAAGACTATGGAGTAACTTAAAGTTGAGGATCTTGAACTCGATCCTTGAGGGATGGGGAGCCAATGGAGCTGAGGTATTTGCCAAATGTTTTCGTAATATATTTTTACAATCATTGATAGTCATTTTCAAGTAATAAAGACAGAAATCATGCTTGGAAAATATTACTGAGTGACGCATTGAACTTGGATATGTTTTTCATTAAAAGCATTTGGACATATTCTACCCTTTATTCAGATTTGTGTAATTCAAGAGCAAATTATATTTACTTTGATCAGTTTTGACTGTGCTTTTTTCTAAAAATAACTAGGCTAGTGTCATCTCAGATCGGATACCTACACCCATGGCAGGAACTGAATCTGGTTCTTCGACAGCTCATGAATTGCAAAACATGTATGTACAAAAACATTTAGCTGAATTTAGCAGCACATTAGATATTCAGCCAATCGGATATGTTGCCCCCAACCCCAACTGCAGGTCAGGTTCACAGATTTTGCTACTGAAAACAATGTTGGGGATATAGCCCCGTCCAGGTGATTACATGTGATGTGATCAATATCAAATGTACCCCTAAATTGTTCCCACTGTCAGAAAACAATTTTATATAGTTTTTGAAATAAATCGGTACAGTTTACACATTTTCTTTAATCTTGATAAAATACAGTATATGAATATGTTTCTACTTGCAGTTAAATAGTTGGAAAATCTTGCATGTCTGTACATTTCAGAAGTCCTGCCTATTAAAGGTAGGCAGTTGCCAGGCTTGCTTATTAGTGGGGGAAGGGTAGGCTTTGCAGTCTTGGTGGTGTAGAGCTCTAGTGGAAAGCTTGGGTTAGTTTCTGAGGTGTTTGTGGATAGGGGATAGCTCCTCTTCCCTGGTTACCTATTGGTCTGGGATTTACTCTAACTGGGAGCTGACATGAGAGTGTAGAGATGGAATAGGTCTGAAGGAAGAGCATCCATACCTTTTGGTGCTTCCCCTAGTCCAGGTTCAGATCTTGAATCATTCACTTAGATTGGCAGGTGTCCCATTGTCCCATGTCAACATGTTTGTCATGGAATTGTTATGCCTGATGAACATATTTTCTTCCTGTTAGAAGTGTTAACAAACCCAGCCTGTGAGTTTTCAGAGACTAGGATCAGTTTAGGGTGGGGAAAGACTATGGAGTAACTTAAAGGTGAGAATGGGGATCTTGAACATGATCCTTGTGGGATGGGGAACCAATGGAGCTGAGCGAAGATTGCAAGTTATTTCCCAAATGTTTTCGTCAGTCTTGGATTTAGTGCTTTCCAGACTTTCTACCAGAAAGGCTGGGCACAAAGGCATAAGCAAAATGTGTGCAAAGTGTCTAATTGGCCATAGGCTCACCAACTTGAATTGTTTGTGAAATTGTATGGCATGAAACACGTATAGGATTTGGGACTATCCTCTCTATTCACCGGAAGAGGAGGTTGTGAGTCATTTGTTTGATGTTGTTCTAGTGCTGAAAATGGAGAGCTATAACGGGGCTGCTTTGTGCTAGAATGTGGGAAGCGTTCCAGCAGATTGGGAATCCACTTCCGCATTGTGGAAATTGTTCACAAGTTATTGGAGAATCATGATATGGCTGGTACGATTTGGTGCAGAGTGACTGGTGTAGGAAGTTGAAATATCACGTTGGTACAGTAGAATTGCTTTTATGAGAGAATTATAACAAAAAGGCCTTATTACTTAAAAATCTCTCTCCATTCGACTTGTCCCCATAGGCACTGACTGAAGAATTAGGGTTAATATAAAAGGAATAAAGGTTTTCCCCAGGAGAGCCATTTTTATAGAACCTTGACCCTAAATAATGGTAAGAGTACCTGCCGATTCACCAAATGTAGTCTTGGTATAGATGAGATGTGGCAAATCCCCAGTCAGATTAAAGATTCATTTCTCCCAGAGAAAGAGTCAAAACAAATGGATTCATAGGGAAAGAGATTTTGTTTACGGTGAATGCTCCCAATACTTATGTGCTCTCACCTTCATTGTTAAAGCTGTCTAAACCTCATAATATTTGTTTAAAATAAATGTTTCATCTTATTCAATCCAATTGATAACAGCTAACAAGCTCTTTCAGAGAAATAAGGAAACTGAAAATAGGGAATTGCTTTTTGATTCTCTGTCAGAATATTTGCGTCTGTGCTGACAACCAGCACAATTTGGAAACTGGAATGACTAGAGCATACCTTTGCTTAGTGAACTTGCAACAATGAATTGCAGATTACTAAAACTAAACTTGTATTTCTTTTCCCTTTTCACTACAGCCAGTTTCTGAAGCGTGGAAATTCACACAGCAGTAAATGCAGACAATTTGAACATTAGTCCTATCTTTATATTACAATAGAACAGTGATTCTCTGGATGTCCACTTAACTGCATTTCTGCTTCTCTGCATCCGACTCCAATGCAGAAGTGCATTTGGGCTTCTGAGATACTGGCAGAAAATGCAGTTTATACATCTGTGTAAATTTGTGTGCATACCCACAAGGTTACTAGGGAGGTGACTTACCTGCACAGTGGAGCTACGTCAAATATTTGGATAATTATAATAATCCTTGCATTTGATACAGCGCCATATCATGTCTTTGAAACGTCTCAAAGCGCTTCACAGAATATACTGTAAAGTGAATTGACTATATTTTGTGGGTGAAACGCAGCAGCGAATTACACACAGCAGTGTCCCACAAACAGTCATGGATTGAGTGACCAATTTTTTTTTAAGGAATTATTACCCCCGGAAAAGCCATCCGCCAATCGACTAATAACCGGGTTCCTACTTACTGCTAGGTAAACAGAGGTATGCGGAGTAAGGAAACTTGCCAAACGTTTCGCCCTGCCAGGAATCAAACCCAGGTCTCTCGTTTGCGAGGCGAGCGCTGTAACCACTGAGCTACAGGACTCCAAATAATATGATAATCTGATACAGGATCTATAACATCAAAATGTCCAATCTTGTTTAACAGTAATTGCTGTCAAGTGTCAAGTGTAGTAAGTTTACTTTATGTAAACAAGATAAATCTTAACAAATGCGACAACCAAGGCCAACAATAAAAAACATTGAGGTTATTCTAAATATAATTAAATATAATTAGCTTTCATGGGAGTGATAAAAGAGTGTAGGAAAATGTGTCAGTGGTTAAATAGTTCAATCTATGAATTTTCTTATGTTCCTGTGTTAAAGTTCAGCAATAAAGCTTGTCAGGTTTGTTATATGTTTAAACGTATCATTGAATAATAATGTTTATTGTGAAAAATACATTTGGACATTCTTTAATGTTTGTAGAATAGATTAACAGACTGTAATGAATCATATGCAATTCTCTGTTTTTATTTTCTAATGTTTTATCTTCATGGTGTATAACAGTGGAATATTTTTTTAAAACTGTTATTTTACAGTCAGAGATGTCGGTTTGGGATGTTTTTTGCTTATTTACAACCAAAGCTACATGCTTTGCAATTCTGCCTTAGGTACTATATATTAAATGTTTTTATATAAATCTCTTGTCAGGATGCTCTTGGAAGAAGCACTGCTGGACAATCTGCTGAATTTTGCTGCCACTCCTAAAGGGTTATTGCTTTTGCAGCAGACAGGAGCGATCAATGAGTGTGTGACCTACATGTTTAGCAGATTCACGAAAAAGCTCCAAGTATGTCCAGGTTACCATGATGAAGAATTTTCTTTTCCTACATCTATCCTGCATATTTCACAGTGTATCACTGCTGATTTTGGTGGTGATTGTGCATCCTGAAATGTGCATTAATAAATTGGTGTTGTTTTAGTGAGAAATGTTCTGGATGTCCTGCTCATAAAACCATTTAAAGAGAATGCTTTCAGCAGCAGTTTGAATGATTCTGCTGCGGTTTAATAATAATCCTCGCGTTTTATTATCACATTGAAATATCTCAAAATATTATTTTTAAACACCTTAATTTAAAAATCGAGTTAATATTTTAATAGTTTATACCTATTGTGGAGAGAGAAGTACTGTACAAATCAGCCTTTCCACTCCATACTGCTGTATTGCCAGAGGCAAAATCATTTACTTCAAGGAGTGCAAATGCAACATTTCTTTTCATATATAGTCAGATGTGCAGATAGGAGTTTTAAGATAGCAGGAGGTACAGATTGTCCTTGCATAGTGTTATTTTATTATATCCTTTTATCAGTGTTTTAAGATTAGAGGCTGGTTCACCTTTTGACTTTTCTTCCCTAATAGGATTGGCTAATTCCTGTACTGTCTGGAATTAATTTCTTTGCAGCTTGAGTTACTTAATTAAAGTTCAGATACCACGAGTGAGTGTCAGATAGAAATGCTCATTCCTTTTGCTTCACAATTAGTGACTGTGCTGTCAGCGACTATGCCCCAAGTCTCTGGAATTCCTTGCCTCAAACGCTCCATTTTTCCCTCTCTTTGCCCGTCTTCAACTTGCGCCCAAAGAGTTTCTTGTTTAAACATGCTTCGGTAAACTTCCCCCCCACCCCAGCCGCTATTCAATGCTTCGAGACACAACCCAGATGAAGGACGTCATATAAATCCAAGTTGTTCTTATCGTTGTTTTGTTCCAATAATCTTGGCTTTGTAGTATAGTATAAACAGGAACCTAAGTGTCTTGTTCGACCCTCAACTGTCTTTTCTCCCTCACATTCAAGCCATCACCTGCTTTGCCTTCCCTCACCTCCGTAACATCGCCCGACTCTGCCACTACCTCACCCCTCAGGCCGCTGAAACTCTTGTTCATGCCTTCATCACCTCCAGGCTCGACTTTGCAAACGCCCTGCTTGTCAGCCTTCCTAACTCCTCCCTCCACAGGCTGCAGATAATCCAGAACTCTGCAGTTCGTGTCCTCTCCCGGACCAAACTCCATGACCCCATCTCTCCCTCTCTCGTCTGACTTCATTGGCTCCCTATCCTTCAGAGTATCCAGTTCAAGATCCTGGTCCTCACATACAAAGTCCTCCATGGCCTCAACCCCCCTACCTCTGCGACCTCCTAACCCCCTACCAACCCTCCTGTTCCCTCCACTCAGCCGGCTCTGGCCTGCTCCACGTCCCCCAACCCACCCGCCCCACCATCGGCGGGAGAGCCTTCAGCCACTCTTCCCCCAACCTCTGGAATTCCAACCCCCATTCACTCCGCCTCGCCCCCTCCTTAGCTTCCCTCAAGTCCCACCTCAAGACCCTTCTCTTCGACCATGCCATCGGGCACCCCCATTCCCCTCCCCTCCCTTCTCCCCCCCCCCAACCTCAGCTCGGATCTGAAATGCTGCATACTATCCAGCGCCTTGGGACGTCCTCCCGACGTGAAAGGCGCTATACAAATTTAATCTTGTTGCTTTTGTAAACAGAGTAATGTATGGTCAAATCAAAATAAATGACATGCATTTTTTTTCTTAAATTGGTAGGTCAGCAAATGTGAAAAATTTGGATATGGAGTTATGGTTACTCAGGTAGCCGCGACAGCTCCTGGTGTTGTTGCATTGCAAAGTTCAGGTAAGCAGTGAATAAAACCACGTTTGCCAAAACCGTTTTGCTCTGTTTAAAAGTATTTTGCCCTTTTGAACAACTATGCATCTGTGTGTTATATTTCCCACACAAATAAGGCATTTTGTTGGTGAAATTAGTATTTAAATCTTTGTATTTTAGTTTTTAGTAGAACAGTAGAGCCTGCTTTAGATTGTGTTATTTTTCTACTTAGATATACCTTTTCCCAGATAAGTCAGTGGGCTGATGTTAGTCAACATCTCCATTGTTATTGTAGCCTATCACTACCAGGTTGGTAGAAGGTGAATTGGATGGACCTTGGTCTTTTTTCTTCTAGCATTGCCTATGTTCCTGTGAACTTAGGAAAATAGGAACAAAAGGAGCCATTCAACCCATCAAGAAGAAACCATTCAACCCATAAATTCCACCAATTTATTGGATTTTGGCAGATATTTTATTACCTTCATTACCTTTAAACATCCATTCATTACACTAGACAGCTGCAATGCAAAATTTAACATGTCCACTACTGTTTATTTCCCCGTTGGTTCCTTTGAAAAACATCAAATCTATGGCCGGTTTCGTATTTAGTTTAACCAGGTTGTGATTAGGAACACACTATCTCAGAAATCTCTTATCAAACAAACGTAGCCTCAGCAATTAATATTGCTGGGATATCTTTGTGAGCCAATCTTCCACATCATTGGCAATCAGATCAATTCTTACCAAAGACAAAGTAGATTTGCAGCAATGTTTGGTTTAAGTCAATTAATCTAGGTTTGCAGTATAACAATCAAAATGAAACCATTCATAGCTTGGTTTCTGTGTTACCACTAGATGGTACTCTTTTACAATATATAAATATTAAATCCAGTTAAAGTTCTGTCGTGCCAAACCGTTGATATAATATTTACACATTTATCTGAGAAAGCATTTTGCTTTGACAATATATGTACTTGAGAACATTTGTAACTTAAAGAAACAGTAGTTTTTTATAATAATAACACTAATAATAATAATCCTTGCATTTGATATAGCGCCTTATCACGTCTTCGAGATGTCTCAAAGTGCTTCACCAAATATACTGTAAAGTGAATTGACTATATTTTGTAGGTGAAACGCGGCAGCCAATTTGCACAGCAGTGTCCTATAAACATTTGTGGGTTGAAGTAACCAACTTATTTTTTTTGAAGGAATTATTACCCTCGGAAAAACGATCCGCCAATCGACTAACAGGCCATGTTCTTACTTACTGCTAGGTAAACAGAGGCATGTGGAGTAAGGAAACTTGCCCAACATTTCACCCTGCCGGGAATCAAACCCAGGTCTCTTGCTTGCGAGGCGAGTGCTCTAACCACTGAGATTCAGGACTCCACAGTAACCACCACTAATAACCTGAAAACTGCAATCATTGAGTATAGATAGTATTCACTATGCTTTTAGAATGAGAAATTATAGTAAGAAGCTCACTATTTTTATCAACTATGCTAAGAAGAAAAATAGAGGTTGATGAATCATTATGTTATGTTAAGTGCTTCAAAGTGCTTCACATGTAATTACTGTAAATTATAGTGACTGCCTTAATAATAATAATAATAATATTATGTTAAATGCTTCAGAGTGCTTCACATGTAATTACTGTACATTATAGTGACTTAATTTGTAGGCAATTGATCCAGGAAGGTACTACAAACAGTAATGAGGTGAAAGAACAATTAATCTGCATGATTGTTGGCCAGGACACCAAGAAAATCTCTTCTTTGAATAAGTATCATGAAATCTTTAATGTCCACCTGACCTCAGTTTAATGTCTCATCCAAAAGTCCGCAATTCTGACTGGAGTTATACCCCATTATAATTGGTGGTTTGGGTTCATAAAATCAGACTTTGCATGATAACAAGGCCTGCTATAAATGTCACTTCCGGTGTGCTGTGTAACGGTGCTGCGTACAGGAAGATGGTTAATCAGCACCAGAAACCAGAAACCAGAAATATACTGCATTTCCTGTATTCCGTCACAACATTACCATGCTAACTTTATACCGGTGCGGTTATAACTAGGTTTAAAGCTTGCTCAGTTGTGCACTGAATGGAACTCTCGATTATAAGATCAATTCCTGAGGTAGGGCCTGAGCGGACAATCTTTTAACTCAAAAGTGAGAGTGCTACCAACTGTGCCAAGTTGATGATTGTGTATGGTAGATCTCAATCTTTGTTTTGTATTTGGATTGCAAGTTTCCCGTTTTGAGTAAGTTACAGTTGGTGTCTTATGAAGGAAATCATTTGCTCTGTTTGCTAAATGTGCCCAATCTTGATCTGCGATTTACTTAGTAAATAGCAGATTAACTCCTAATGCCTTTTATTTTGACACCAACCACAATGTACACCACTCTCTCAATGGCTATGAATTCTATGGTGCAAATTACTTTAATAACATATCACATTTTATGAGTGGAAATTAATTGGATGAATGTCATAATGATTTTCTAGTTCATGACCATGCCGGTTCAATTAGGTTTATGTAAATCTTAATTTTACATGGGATTAAATTCACTATAGTAAAACTACATTGACACTATGGCAGATGCTGAGTAGCAGGATAACAGACCACTTAGCAGTCTTGACACCAGACAGTGAATTTACCAACAGAGGCATCGGATCGTTTGTAGCTGAGTTACAGATCAGCGATGATCTAATAGAATGGCAGAACAAGCTTGAGGAGTTGAATGCCTACTCCTATTCCTATGTTCCAATGAAAGACCCTAGAATATTTTATAACTAAATATTAGGTGTGCACAATAATGAGTTTTAAAGGATTTGGATAAAGGAAGCATTACTGAATCATTGAAGCGTTACTTAGCAAGTTTTATTATATTACAAATCGTGAGTTTAAAATCAATTTTCACCCTGCACATTTAGTTTACGCCCTGATGTTTACAGATGTTCATCGTTGTAAACCATCTTGTATTCTGTTTTAATAGTATGATAGGTAAGAAATAGAAATAAATTAAGGTAGCTGCAGTATGTTGTTTATAGTTAAGGACACTGTCATTTAAAGCAATGCACAATGCCTTATGAAATATGAGACAAAATGTAAGTTTTGATATTGTATGCTAATCTGAATGGGTAGAAAATAGCAAAGCTTTGGTATATGCTGCCTTCAACACTGTGAAACACTCTATCCTCCTCCACCTCCTCTCCTCTCACCTCAACCTTCAAGGTTCTGACCTTGAATGGTTCAGATCCTCTCACATTGGCTTTACTTTGTCTCCACAAACGGCTTCTCCTCCAGTCCCCGCACCTTCTTGTGGGGTGGTCCTCAGGGCTCTATCCTCAGCCTACTCCTGCTCCTAATTCTTATGTCTTCCCGATGTGAAAGGCGCTATACAAATGTAATTTTGTAATTTTGTAAAATCCACGGATGCACACTCCACCTCACTGAGCCAGAAAGGAACCAAGGTGACTTGCTCGACTCTCAACTGTCCTTTCTCCCCCACATCTGTGCCATGACCCACTCTGCCTTCCCCCTCCTCCACATTTCCCGACTCCTCCACTGCCTCATGCCTCAGGATGCTTGAACCCTCATACATGCCTTAATTACATCTAGGCTTGACTATGCCAACTCCCTGCTTGTCGGCCTTCCCAACTCTTCCCTCCGCAAGCTGCAGATCATCCAGAACTCTGGAGCTCGTGTCCTCTCCCATACCAAGCTCTGTGACCCCCATCACCCCCCCCCGGCTCCACTGTCTCCCCATCCCTCAGAGGATCGAGCTAAGAATCCTCGTCCTCACCTTCAAGGCCATCCACGGCCTTGCCCACTCCTACCTCTCCGTCCTGCTAATCCCTTATCAACCTATCTGCTCCTTCCACTCAGCAGGCTTTGGCCTGCTCCATGTACCCCTCCTGGCCTGCCCCACCATCGGCGGTCGAGCCTCCAGCCTCTCTGCCCGCACCCTCTGGAACTCCATCCCACATTCCTTTGCTTTGCTCCCTCCCTTGCCTCCTTCAAGGCACACCTCAAGACCTCAAGACCCTCCACTTTGACCGTGTCTTCAGCCACTCTCCTTCTCTGCCTTGTACATGTAATTTGTTGTTGTTGGAAAAGACCTATAAGTCCATATTACCATCAATATAGTTGTCACGTGAAAATATCAATGCTTAGTAATAGTGTTTTAGGTGTTGCAATGATTGAATGATTTTCAATGAATGCTGAATGCAACAAGTAAGAGTACAGTTTTCCTGTGCCTGATCCTCAATTAGCCTCATGCTACGTTTGTGCCTTTCCTCTCTCTCAGCACTCACCCTAGAGTACCACCACCAGGAGCAAGTCGATCAAACGTTGCTCTTGTGAATTGACCAGTCAATATAGCAATCTACATTCCAGATTTAAACTTGCTCTTATACTTGCTCTCTTCTTGGTGAAAGAAGTCACTGGACTTATGCTGCAGATAAAAATGTGCAAGTGAAAGCTGGTATTCGCCCACAAAATATAGTCAATTCACTTTACAGTCTATTGTGTGAAGCGCTTTGAGACATCAAGAAGACGTGAAAAGCGCTATATCAAATGCAAGGATTATTATTATATATTATTATTATATTACTTTTAACGAGCCTGTTGAATTTTCTTTTCCTCCAACCTCTATCCACTGAATGGTGACATTGTGAAACTCCACGGCACAGTCATCTGATAGTTGCCTAAAATGTTTATAATGTTCTGGGTCATGCCTATCAGTAGGTGAAAATCCTGCCACTGAGCATGGGATCCCACAATGTCATGGGATCCGACGTTTCTTCTCCACTTGACACCAGGCACTTTAATCATATAGTCTGACATGTTACATTTTGTTCTGTATAGATTCTCCCCTCAAGCTCATATCTGAAGTCAGATATCAGTCAAAAGCTGATGAGGAACTTCTGAGGCTTGGTGTGAAAGTGGCTGGAAAGTTTTATCTAGAGTCTATGCTTATGAACATTTGCTTAAGTCTTCAAGTTTAGTGCCTACTTTGAATTATATGCAGAGAACTAAGCAGCTGATGCTGAAGCTCCTTAAACCCAACTGCTCAATGGAAAAAAGGATGGCAGTAGTGCTCTCTTGAATTTCGTGCTAAATTGTGCTGCCTACTAAATAGTTCACAAGGAGTTGTTGGTATCTGCTATTCATCTAGAGAAAGTTCAAACCTAAACTTGTCAAATATCTAATGATCATCTAGCAACTAAGATCTGTGGGTGGGTGAAGGGGAGATGTATGTTGGCTCATAGCTCCAGAGCTACTTCTGCTTACCCTTCATTGCATCTATGGCACAGCAAAGTGAATGCTGACATAAATGAGACATAATTGATGAACTTTTATTGTAGTATTAATGGTGGACTGCCCCTGTGGCTCTTCATGGAGAAGGTGGATTCATAGTCCCCCCCACCGTGTGAATCTCTGAAGCCTGAATCACCATATGGTTCACTTCTCATTCGTATTCATACAACTCACATTATTCCCGTAGACTTGCTACCTGGCGATACTACTTACAATCACTTCTAAGTCTCTTGATACTGTGTGTGCTTCTGGATTTACTTTTCCGTTACTTAGATATGTTTGACACTGATATACTCGTTCTCTCCATTGGAAAAATACTCTGCTCACATCCTGTACATAACTAGTCATGTTTGTTCACCAGTTATACATTGGGTTAAATGTTCACTTTTAGATGTAATGTTTTGTGGAAGTTTCTGCTTTGTGTTCCTCAGCAAACATAATAGGATTTTTTTGTTTATATGTAAATAACTTTTACATTTGTGAGCAGTACGAATTTCAGGAATCATGATAAATAAATTGTTTATTTTAAAATTCCATCCCTGGTTATCTACATTTTATCCAAGCTTGCCCAACAGATGAATTTCAGAACCCATGTTCTTAAAGAGATTACTATTTCTCTGATTAGAAATTCATAATTTGTGACTGACAACACATACAGTAGTACGGCTTTGCCAAGTAAAAAAAAAACTTCCCATTGCTATTGAGATATTCAGATTTTATTATGAAGAGCATTGCTGCTCCTGAGAGCATTTAAGTGTTTCCTTAAATGAAGGCTGCCAGGCATGTAAGTGCTAGTTCTCCCTTCTGAATTATCATATTGAATTTTCCTACATGTGAAATAAGATTGCTGTGTAGTAGTCATATTACAATCACTCCATAGAATGAATAGATATCTACATATATACAGAAAAAGGTCACCTGGTAATAAATCATGTATTGTCATTTCCAGCTGTAATAGTAATTCATTTGATGCATAATATCTCATTATTCACATGGTAGATATATTCTAGCTGTAAGATTTTTGAAATGCACTATTTATTTTCTGTTTCATTTCTTAATGTGTAATGCTTACAAGTAAAACTAATTTTCTCCAATAGGTTTCATCAAAGCCCTTTTAATGGAACTTTGGTCAGTGTTGGAGTGTGGAAGAGATGATGTGAGGATGATCCACCCTAAACCAACACCAGTGGATCCCATAGACAGAAGTTGTCAGAAGGTGAGAGGAAATTGCATAAGTGGACTTCTCTATTTTAAACTTAATTTAGTTTAGCAATGATAAAGAACTTTCACAAATATATTTAAGTGGCACGTATCAGTCTTAATGAATAAAATTATTAGGATCTGTGGGTGTACTGGAGGGGGTGGGTTAGAGAATTTTAAATGTAAAATATATTCGCCTGCTAAGAATTCCTTTTTCATTTTAGGAGATTTAAGTTTCAGTATTATTCTCACTTGAAAAAGGTCCATCATTTCATTTGTCTAATTTTGGCATAAATACAACAAGATTACATTTGTATAGCACCTTTCATGTCAGGAGGACGTCCCAAGGTGCTGGACAGTGTACAGCATTTCAGACCCGAGCTGGGGACGGGGGGGAGAAGGGAGGGGAGGGGAAGGGGGCTGGCCGATGGCATGATGGAAGAGGAGGGTCTTGAGGCTGGACTTGAAGGAGGCTAAGGAGGGGGTGAGGCGGAGTGACTGGGGGATGGAATCCCAGAGGTTGGGGTCAGAGGGGCTGAACCTCTCCAGCCAGTGGTGGGTAGATGGGTCGGAGGACAGGGAGCAGGCCAGAGCCGGTTGAGCGGAGGAACGGGTGGGTTGGTAGGGGGTTAGGAGGTCGCGGAAGTAGGGTGGGGAGAGGCCATGGAGGGCTTTGTAGGTGAGTACCAGGATCTTGAACTGGATCCTCTGAAGGATAGGGAGCCAATGGAGTCGGGCGAGAGTGGGGGAAATGGGGTCATGGAGTTTGGTGCGGGAGAGGACATGGACTGCAGAGTTCTGGATTATCTGCAGCCTGTGGAGGGAGGAGTTGGGAAGGCCGACAAGCACGGTATTTGCATAGTCGAGACTGGAGGTGATGAAGACATACACAGTTTCAGCGGCCTGAGGAGTGAGGTATTGGCGGAGTTGGGCGATGTTACGGAGGTGAGGGAAAGCAGAGCGAGTCATGGCTTGGATGTGGGGGAGAAAAGACAGTTGAGGGTCGAACAAGACACCTAGGTTCCTGACTGGTTTGGTGAGTTGTAGTGAGCAACCACGGAGGTTGATGCTGCCAGAGCCTGAGGTGCTGAGGCGCTGGCGTGAGCCAATCAGGAGGGCCTCAGTCTTGTTCACATTCAACTGTAGGAAATTTGCCCTCATCCAGGACTTGATGTCCGACAGGCAGTCTGTCAGGATAGCAGTGGTCCTGGAGTTGAGGGTGGAGGCAGAAAGATAGAGTTGGGTGTCATCCGCATACATATGGAAGTTGACCCTATGTCTGCGGATGATGTCACCAAGGGGGAGCATGTAGATATTAAAGAGGAGAGGGCCAAGGACAGAGTCCTGGGGGACGCCAGACGTGACAGTGCGGGGGCTGGAGGGGAAACCGTTAGAGGCAACAAAGTGGAGACGGTGAGAGAGATAGAAATCGAACCAGGCAAGGGCAGGTCTGCGAAGATTGAGTAAAGTGGAGAAGCGGTGTATGAGGATGGAGTGGTCAACAGTATCAAAGGCGGCAGAGAGGTCAAGGAGGACAAGGAGGCAGAGGGAGCCCTTATCACAGATGTTCAGAATGTCATCAGTGAATAAACATTAAAAAAACAACAAACACATGGCATGTTGACAACATGTTTCTTTTATAACTGTGAATGCAACTTTCCAAAGAAACACGGTCATATGTGCATTTAGGGCCCCACCACTCCCCCTTCTACTTATACATGTCATCTAGCAATAAAGGATAAAACAAGTATTGGCTTTTCAAGTAGGCACTGGTTTGTAATCTAATCTTCATAGTCAGTTTTTTTTTTGAACAGTGCTGATGGAGGTATTTATTTTTTAGGCTATGGCTATTTTATATCTTAATTTCCATCCTTCCTTCCTTGTTTGCTTCCTTCCTTCGTTTCTTCTAATTCCATAATAACATTATTCAGTAACTTAATCAATAAAAGAAACTCATATGTAAGAACGTTTGATGGCGGAGAATGTACTTTTTGAATTGCAGAATATTTATACAAGAATTCACACATCCAAAATATAATTATGTCAAGTAGTGATAGGCTGATGCTTTTTGAAATAAAATGCTAGAAACATTTAAAATTAATTCCCACTTCAAGTCACGTTTATTTTTCCTCTGGTTTTGTTGCTGCAATTTGTGTTGCAATTCTCAAAGTTTGGGAAAATTCCTGTTGAAAATGGCAAATGTGCTTGTGGGTACTTAATTCATAGAATGTAATGCAAGTGGTGTGACATATTATTGATTTTATCGACAAACTTAAATAAATAGAGCACAGAAATGTGGCGAAGAATAGAAAATGTATTAATTTGGCTTCCAGTGTCCTAGAACTAAAACCCACTTCCTGTGCTTCACTACGCTACGCGGAGCTGAAGGCTGCAGCTTCAAATCCCGATCTGTGCTTTGTGAACTAATCTCAGCTGGGGGCACTGGGCAGCTACAATTGCTCTCAGCATTTTGTATTTAGAGGTAGAAAAATCCACCAGCATTTCTGCTCTTGATTGCTTTCCCCCCACAACCTACTGGAGATGTGTATTTGTGTATGAAAGATCAGATCAAATGTGACCAAGTAGCCTGCTAACACTCACATGTAGAATGTGGATCCGTATGCAAGTAAAAGGAAAGGATGAAAAAAATAATTTAAGAAAAATATTGCAATCTTACAAGTATTTGATTCAACTTTACACGACTGCAAAGATCAGAAATGAATGCGGGCCTCCTGGTATCACCTTCAACCAGATGGGAAGATTTGGATGTTTGTAGTCATGTGCACTAATACCTATTGGCTGATATTGTTTTTGGTACAAATATAGACACTCTTTTTGTTGGCATATCACTCTTTTTGCTGGCATGAAGGGATTGATATTGGTACGACTTGGGTGAAAACAATGAATCAGTAAAGGCGTTTGTGGAAGGGGAAATGTCTGTGGAGGGAAGGAGGCCAAGTTTGAAAAGCAGACGTGTGAAGATGGATTAATGTACTGGATTCTTAATTGCTTTTGAGCATCAGGAAGTGTCTTTCAAAGCTTTCCCTTGAGTACAATCCACAATAAGATGGACTAAATGACCTTGTTTCAGTCGATGCTTTCTTGTGTTCTAATGTACTATCAAAAATTATTGCTGACAAAACAAACCTAAGTCATAAAATTCTCAGACATTATGCATTTGAGTTCAGTATTTGTGATTTCTTGTTTGTGTATATTTTGTGTTAAAACGTTTTCTTTAATAATAGTATGATGCCTATTTTAATTGTTTGATACTATACATTTAAGTCATTCCTCGCTCTGGTGAACCTACTATCATCTTTCCATGCTGTGTATGAACTGATTGGTAATCAGCCACTGCCAAACAAGGCAACCTACTCCTTACGAGAAGTGCCTGGATCCATTCTTGTAAGTTTTTATAGAACCATGTATTTGACATCTCCACTAAACTTTTAAAGTACTGTATTGCTAATGGTGACATATTAACGGAATAATACTGTTTTATAAGATAACACTCATTTAAACTTCAAAAAACACAAAAGGATTAAAACTCAAACCTATACTTAACAAAATCTTATTAATAGCTTGTAATTAATCTGATTTGAAAATATTTGAATCTTTCAAATTTACATGAATAATTAGAAAGAATGTGCATTCCTATAATAATAATCTTTGCATTTGATATAGCGCTTTTCAAGTCTTCTAGACGTCTCAAAGCGTTTCACATAATATACTGTAAAGTTCATTGATTTTATATTTGTGGCCAAAACGGGGCAGCCAATTGTGCACAACAGTATCACACAAACAGTTGTGGATTGAGTGACCAAATTGTTATTTTATTTATTTTCTATAAGTATGTTCCAATTATCTCTGCTGCCTCGCTCTATCTCCCCCTCTCTCCCTCCCAAAGTTGGTCTCTCTCTCATGACCTTGTTGATCTATTCGGAGTTGAGGTACAGATCAATGCCAATCAATACATTCCTATGGCTCCTTACCATATCAAAATATACCAAAGTGTTTCACTGTAATTACTGAGTGTAGCTCTGTTTTTTATTCATATTAATCGGCATAGATATAAATGATGGTCCGCATGGCCTTTTTCAGTGCTGTAAATTTCAATGGTTCTATTAATTAGAAATAATTGCTTGAATTTATATCATGCATTTAACTTAGAATAAATGTCCCAAAAGGATTTCCAGGCAAATGCAGCAGCTATTTTGTACAGAAGGTTATTTTCTAATATGTTAACAGGTTCTGTGTTGTGTATATACAGAGTGTTCACTATCCAGTTATGTGAAGCATATTTGGATAAAACGTGTTCCGTTTAAACACTTTGGCCCATTATGTAAGCATTCATCCCAAGCATGAGAGACATTTATTGTATTGTAAATGAAACACGGCTGCATTATCACTGAAACGTGATATTAAGCAAATCAATATAGACTGAAATATCTGTCAGAACAATGATTTAAATTTAAACACAAGATTTTGTTATTATTGTGCAATAGTGTAATTGGAACACAATAAAAAATGCATGTTTTATTCAGAAAACCATGTAAAAATTTAAGAAGCCTGATAATATTTAATTTGATTAGCAGGCTCAACTCTATTTATTATTTTTAAATTAACATATCTTGTTTTGCACATTACTTGTAAATGAGTTGCATATTGGTTATGTGTTTCCTTTGAAGGATCTAATTGATCGACTGGTAATTTTGAATTCAAATGCAAAAATACACTCGTTGTTCAACTATGAGCAGTCCCATGTCTTTGGTCTTAGGTAAGTTGAAATTCTGATCCTTAATGCTGAAATACACTTTTACAATCAGATTTTCTGGAAAAAATATTTTTCCATATTTAGAAATCTTCTAGACCAATATATTTACAATGCAGCCAGAATGTTTAGTGATCTGGTTGTTTGCATGTCAGTTTCTTTAAAAGTTTAATAGAATAGGGACACATTTGTCTCGTAAAAAATAGTGTTTCAGTTGTCTATAGCAAAGATTTTATTTCCCATGTTTACGACTTGCTGCTTTGTGCAACCTTTAGTATTGTAGTGCCGAAGAGAATACTATAGAAGTGATATTAGATTTCTAAACATGATAATCCCCTGGGATTTGAATCTGGTGACCCATTTACACATTTCTGGAGGCTATTATGATCATTGGCAATACCTAAGATAATTTGATTCCACAAGAGGCAGAAACAGTAGAACTAGAACATTCATTACTTTCTGGATGGCAAACTTTTATAGCCTACCATTTTGATTCTATTAACTAGTCCATCAAATAATTGTCTCTGTTGTCCTTATCTGTGTAGTCGAAGTAGATACTCAAGCCTTCACTGTGAAGACAGAGACTCGATTTCAGACATATCTCTTAGCCAGGGACTCTTGAGAACATAGAAAAAGGTGACAGTTTGCCTTCATTCCTTTAGTATAGGCAGTTGCCTAAAAACGTTTGCTTTGGATTTTGAGATGACTCAGAGCCCGCATGCCATGATTTTCTCGTTGGACAAATATCCGTCCAGTGCAAGGACGTTTTCTATAAACAAAACGCAAAATGCTGCAGATGCCGGAAACCTGAAACAAAACAGAAGTCGCTGGGAACACTGAGCAGGTCAGGCAGCATGTTCTGATGAAGGGTCATGGACCCGAAACGTTGACTCACTTTCCTTTCTCCATAGATGCTGCCTGACCTGCTGAGTGTTCCCGGCGACTTCTGTTTTGTTCCTTTTCTATAAACTGTTAGATAACTTTGTATCAGAATGAAACAAAATCAGATCAGATTAAGGTGTCATTATATATACAGGTCAGGATTTCTCTTTTCTCAACGGACTTCACAGGTCTCTGTTATGGTCAATATGAGTGTCAATTTGTGCAGCTTTGCTTGCAATCAAAGGATCCGATATGGAATGTAGATTGACACACGGACATACATTTCATCTTTATACTCACCTGGGAGGACTCCTGTGGGAGGGCCCCTTTTGGGAGGACTCGGCGCTTTAAAAATGTAATTTCGTTGCTGCGATCGTCTGTGTTCTCTATTTTTTTCCCATTGCTTTGCTACGTGCGTGCTCCGTGACGCAGGATGCCACAGTGCCACGGTCAGCCAGCGCAGCCACAGGTGTAACTGCAGTGTGTGTGTACATACGTAGGTGCTCTGTGACGCATGATACCACGGTGCCACTTTGACTTGACGGCCAACCAGGTGTAACTACAGTGAATGACGCAAAACTGAAAATAGCTCATGAATGATAGGAGATACCTGAAAACAAATATGGCCATGTCATTCCCAGATGCAAGACCTCTCCAATGAGCTATAAATCATATTTCTATATCAATCGGTCATTGAGATCCTTCCTGAAGCGCAGACAGACATTGTCGTTTTATTTGTATGAAAAGATTTAACTTGAATTTCCGTCATTTATAGGATGAGCTTCAGATTTTGACAAGAAAGGAGTAGATTTAATTTTAACCCAAACTAACAATGCCTATTATACTTGCTTTTAATGCTTTTAATGCTCTAACTTTGTTGTCTACAGGCTATTGAGTGTAATGTGCAGCAATCTAGATACCCTCATACTTTTGGAATCTCAGTACAATGTATCAGAAATCCTTCTGAATGCACAGAAAGAAAATGTCAGAGAAACTTCAGAAAACCCAGTGTAAGTAAATAACAGTGATGGCCCTCAGAGTGATGCATATTTTATAGGAAAAAAATCTAAATTGTGGTTGTTTTCATTATGTTGTGCCCGAGTAATTTATTCGTTACCCTATATATTTCAGAGATTTTATAATTGACAGTCTCTCTGTGGAGATGAATCATATACTTGTTCGTATGAACCTGGTTGGTGGACCGACAGAACGCATTTTGCCTTCTAGAGCTTTGCAGAAGGTTAGAAAAATCTTGTTATATTCTCCACTTTGGGTGAAAATTACAATGAATCACAACAGGAATCGATAATCAAGACTCCCAGTCAGAAAAATAGTGAATCCTTCCACTGATTAGAAGTATATAATGCTAATCCATAGAACTCCATTCCTGAAGCAGATTCCATCAGAGCAGAATTCCCATAGTCACTTTGAAGTATTTGTGGTTACTGGAAGGAGTTGCTGTTAATGACTGGAGTCTATAATGACTGTAGTTATACAAATTGCTGCAACGTACAATCCATATACAATCGAGTTTAACTCTCTTTTGTTTGAAAAAATGTGTTTTTATTAAATTAACCACACTGAGAAACATAATGTATTTTTGCTTAGCAGCAAGCACATCTGAATCCAGCAGTGAAATGCTCCTCTACATTGCTTTGACAGTGTTTTGAACCCCTATTGCTTTACTATGATTTTTTAAAAATAACATGAAAGTGTGCTCATGGAACACTGAACAAAATCATTGCTAAAGACGGGATGATTTTGTACTCTCAGGTACTGCTGTGTGTTCATGAACAAAAGTAGCTGCATGATGAAAAGAAGTAGCATGAAATCTTTTCAACCCCACATAAATTTTCATAGTAAAAGTTGAATAAATATTCACTGGACTCCTGAAAAAACTGGTATAATCTCATCATTTCATTACTTGAGGATTATGGAGTTGTTTCATGAATTCATTATGTATTTTTTATGGATGAGAAGAAGAATGTTGAATTAAAGTCAGTAAGTGTGATATTGAAGAGAAAATGAGTTGTGAACTGTTGTGCACTAGGAAAATAATTCAAAGTTTTTCCAGTTAGGAGATGCAGCAGCATTAGAATAAGAATGTTTTTGGAATAACGTACATGCTATGCTACTGCATTGGCTTTCTTCTTATGGTCTCTTAACAGTAATCACCAGCTACATAAACCAGACAAATACTGATGCCTACAGACACAAACTTGAAAATCATATGGTTTATTAACACAACGGCTCAGGGAAAAGTTCAGTGACCCACAGTGCAGCATCCTGGGTTCGTGATTGGTGTTCTGCAACCCAACTTGCGCCTGCTCGGCCTCTCAATTCTTCCCCTTGCTCGGTACTCAACCATGTGCTATGCAATTACCTGGCCAGCCATATGGCCTAGGCCTCAAACCTTTTTGTTCCGTGTCCCTCCTTTCCAGAGTTTGATAGGGAAGGATTTCCTGAGGGTTTCCCCCCCTCCGCCTTTATGTGACACAGGCTCCACCCTATCTCTGTTAATACCCAAAGCCCCACCATTACTGCTTTCCACACTGCTAGTTCTCAGTCTTTACAGGTTAGATTGTGAGCTCATTTCCCAATATGTGGCAGACAATCAACCACCTTCTTAACCAGAAGGAGTAAACTACCAGCTGAGCCAAGCCGATATACACATTTTCAATAATTTTCATATTTATAATTACAGTATTTTGGAAAAATTTAGGAAAAAACATGTTGCTTCAGCAAATGTTGTAATATCGTTAATTCGCTTCACTAGGGGCAACCTTAAGCTTAACACCATGGGATCCTAAAGCGATTGTGATCGCTTCGTCTTTCAAAAACAGAGAACAAAATCATTACAGTATATTTAATGATTATTTGTACATTGAACCTGTAATATTCACAAAGATGATTTTGTGTGAAATAAACTGCAACAAAACAGATTTTTATTCTCAGCTTCCAGTCAGATACCACTCGTCATTGGTTCTGATAAGTATCCATATTTGTTGTGGGGATGTTTTCTCTTCCAAGTACAACAACAACTTGCATTCATATAGCGCCCTTCAAGCGGGGTAGGCGTCCTGGAGCACTTAAGTATGGGGAAGGGAACGTGCCTTCTGGTGGCTAGAAATGAGAGCTTGTGTGTGGGGGGGAGGATTCATATTATCTGATTTTCATGGTTATTTTCCCATCAAGGATTTGTTAATCCCATTATATGTGTTATATTTTTCCATTTGCTGCAGAAATTTTCCACTACTTTTCAACAGATTGATGATCCATACAAATTTACTTTTGGCAATTGGTAATTCATCACTGTTTGTTTGCATTCCGTTTCTTTTTTTTTTAAAAGTGTAGCAATTGCATAACTTGAATATTTACATACCAAATAATCGTAAATGCTTCAATTGTAAAATACTAAATATTTTAAGTTGTACGAAATGAACATTTGCTGCAATACTACTGCCATTGATCTACAGTTTGTTTCAAATCTCTGGAACTCCCTCCCTCACCCTCTGCCTCAACTCCTCTTTACAAATCTTTAAATCCCACCTGAAGACCTACTTCCTTGACTGAACCTATGGTCACCTTCACCTCCCCCTTCTCCCTTGCTCAGTGCACAATCTTGTCATGGTATAGCTCTCCAAGATGCTATTCTGTGAGAAGGGTAAATGCAAGTTGTTGTTGTATAGTGCTTTTCTCTAGATTTTGTCAGTTACATTGATAGTGTTGATTCTGTTGAACCTTGTTTTACAGTGGCTCTCATCAGTATTCTCAGACTGCAGTATTTGCTACAGTTTCTTTTGTATGCTGCATGCTTCCTTTAGCTGTCAGCCTCATACAAGTGATGAGAAAATTACTGTCATGGAGAAATATTAGTAATCCTGTTGAAATTACAGCAGTTTTACCTTGGGGCTTCAATATCCCATATAGAAACATCAGTCCAATCTAAGAATGGTGACTGCCTGGGTAGCTATGTTTTTTTTGTAATGCTAGAGCTGGTAAAGACATATTTATCTTACTGCATTTTTTCTAATTTTATCAAATTGTATTACAGGACATCATTTTCAATGGACACGCAATGAACCCTGAAAACATTAGACACAGGGTTCTGTAAAAATCAATAAATGCAGAAGCTTATATTGTACTGTGGGAAAACATGACTTTAAATCTCTTTGCAATTTCATGCTTTACACTTTTTGCAGGCAAATGACCCTCATCCTTGGCCACTGTTTGCTTCGTTCCCTTTACCAAAGTGTTACCTTCAAGAAGCGCCAAAACAATTTCCTCTGAAACAAGGTAATGCATCAGTAGATGTGTGTATTATTAATTTACACTTCAATTTCTTTTAAATAATGAAAGCATGCTGACATAGAACTCAAAGCACATATTGTACAGGAGATTGCACCAGATGTCTCATAAGCAAACTGATTTTCTCCTATGATTGAGGGAATGAGGATCCGTTAATGTGCAGCACTGTAGGTAGAGAAGTCCAAGGTTGTTTTTATTATTAATAATAATAATATTCCTTGCATTTGATACAGTGCCTTATTATGTCCTCGAGACATCTTAAAGCGCTTCACAGAGTAAAGTAAATTGACTGTGTATTTTGTAGGCGAAATACCAGAAGTACCTTGCATATCTTCCATATTTTATGACCATAAAACATCTTAACCTTTAAAGCCACTAGCTCTAGTCTAAAGAGATGCGTGTTCCCTACATTGGACATTGGACATTTCTGTTTGTTGAGAGTTTAGTTCCATCAGCATAAACCTGAAAAAAAAACGAGTCCATAGGGGATGCTACTGAAATATCAGGAATAGCTTTATTACGGTATAACATTGCTATTAAAATAGAATATGTACGCTAAAATAATTCTTCATGAAAAATAACATTTCTGGTCTGGCTTACCTTCCTTGTTTCCGCAGCTTTCCTTCCTAGGGAATTGGTCACTCAATCCATGATTGTTTGTGGGAGCCTGCTGTGCGCAATTTACTGCTACGTTTTGCCCACAAAATATACAGTCAATTAATTTTATAGTATATTAGATGTACCCGCTGCAGCTACGCTTGCAACCAAAGGATCCAATATGGAATGTAGATTTAAGTGATACCACTCACAAACCATTTAACATGCCATAAACACTGTGTGTGCACCTTAAGCAAAACGATTGTAGATACCTACGCCGTAATTTTGATGTGCTCGTATTTTTAGAGCTGGCGTTTTCCGTGATACCACTCACAAACCATTTTACATGCCATAAACCCTGTGAACACACCTTAAGCAAAACTGCCATACATGTGTGATGAGATTGTTTAGCTCATCAACGATAGGAGATACACAAAAACAAATGCCATAACACTTCCACCCCTCACGCAAGACCTTTCCGATGAGGCATAAATCATGTCTACATCAATTGGTTATTGCGTTATTGATGACAGACAGACACTTTGTCTTTATTAGTATAGAAGATACTGTGAAGCGTTATGAGACATCTCAACGACGTGATAAAGTGCTATATCAAATGCAGGGATTATTATTATTGGGAGGAAGGTGGAAGTAGGGTATTTCTCCAAATCTGGAGGTGTTAAAGACAAGCATATTTACACATCCTATTGCTAGCACAGTTGCTAGTTACTGATATTTATGCTGCACCGTATGGTGTCCATTTGTCATGCTGTTGAATTATCTATAGTTCAGCTTCTCAATTCTATGAACATGCTAATTTGTTTATAAAGTCCATCTCTAATTCTGCATTTAAAAGAAGTCTTCATCTCTAATTTTTCTCTGCTTCATACATTGTTTTCCAATCAAGAGTCGTAGAGAAATAATCTGCTTCCAGTACTTTGATATTGTATTTCACTACGAGGAAAATATACACATGTAAACTGTGGGAAGGGAGAGTCTTAAATATTTATAATTTTCAGTGGCACACATAAGATTGTATAGTAAGCTCTCAAAAATAATCAATAGCAATGATTGCTATTTAATACAGTGCAGTATTCTTCTGCAATGTGTGCCATTGTGACTACCCACATGAATATTGGATGGAAATAAGTTTCTAAACTGATTTAGTTTGATGTGTCAAGCTAGTGTAAAATCAGAGTTGATTTACTAATCTACAAGAACTTGATCTCAAACCGACTTTGACAGCGCGATGGAATGACGCAAATAAAGATACTGCGATGCAAATACCTTGTGCAGACATAAATATATTCATATTAAATTATTCAGAAATAGTTAAAACAGCACAAATATACAAAATTCAATTATGCCAACTTAACATAACATAAATAGACATTTTGTACTGAATACTTAAAGCCACACATTGCAGTAGGACTTGCATTCAACTGAATATACTGTTCTGGATTCTTTGTAAAATTTATATGCTGGGATGCAGTATGAATAATGGCTGTTCTTATTGTTTAGATAATGAATTTAGCAAGTTACTGAAAAATTCAGAGAAGCAGGCAAGCTGGCTGGAGAACTGTAGAAAGCAGTTTTGTAAAACCATGACAACCAAACCTGATATCATCAAGGGAAGCAGTAAGTATCCAGTTGTGGACAGGTATAAATATATTGCAGAATTAAGATCCTCACCACTGGGGCACAGATGTATAGCAACTGTCAATATTTTCATGAAATACTTGTGAATAATGTAAACTCTTCATTCTTCTTCTAACTTCATAGTGAACATTGATTTCATTTTTGCTAGTCCTGGCAGTTTTTACCTCTCAGTCATGCCAAAATTACACAATCTTATAAAAAATCAACATGTTTAGAATGACCAATTTTTAAAAAAACATAAATAAGTAAAGAAGTATTTTTATATATAAAAAAGTGAAATTCGTAGCTATTTATAGTCCCACGTATGATTGATTCCTTTAACCACGTGGCACATTATTGTCAGTTGTTGTTTCAACAAATAATTTAAGAGCATTATTTTCACCCAATGCATTTGTTTTTATTGATGCTGACTATTAGCTGAAACAGTGAACTGATCATCAGATCCTTTTCATAGATATCAGTTAATTAGTTCTTGAAATAAAAAGCAATAGGAATATTAGCTTTAAGTATTTCAGCTACCTGAAATTTACATTATCACAATCATTTTATTAATCTTGGCATTCCAGTATGTTCTTAAAATATTTGATGATTTTGAAAATATGTTAAACTTTAAGGTGTTTTTTTAAATGCTTTGTTAACCTTTTTAATGTAGAATTCAGTTTTCACCATCACCAAATAATGTTTTTGATGGCTTCAACGAACAAAAGTAAAAGATTAAATGTAGAAACTTTGCTGTTATAATACTTTTAAATGATACAAAATGTTGATTACAGGTATTTCTCGGTTTGTGGACTGTAGTTTTTGAACGTTTGCTGTGAACATAATTAAAATACACTCAAACTAATCTTCAATGAAATAGGAGGCATAGTGCAGCAGTAACCAGTGTTTCAGCAAAATTCCAATAGTGTTGTAATAAGATTTCAATTCTTCTTTCTCATTCAACAACTTCTATGGAAATAACCCGTGGTCCAATAGTGGGATGAGTGACTTGAAGCAGGCTGGTGCCCCCTGAGCAAAGGAAGCAATTGGGTTGGGGATTTAAGAAAACGTTCTATAGTATTAAAAGGCAAATGCAATTCTGCATATGTAAACTTAGCAAATTAATGTTTGGGGGGAGTTTTGTCTAATTTGAAGCAATTCAGATTAAAAAGTATAAATCAAGCTTTCACTCTATACTGCTTTAGTGCCACAAAAAATGCTTCACTCTTCACAGTATAAACATAGCAAAGGAAAAAAAGGCTTGCACAGGGGCTAAGATCTCATCTCCCAGGCGCTACAAGAAAAGTAACTGAACTTCACCCAACAACAACAAGGCGTTGGACAGTCAGAGGTCAGGACCCGAGCATGGGGGAGGGGTGAGGGAAGGCAGAGAGGTGAGAGGGCGACCGAAGGCACGATCGAAGAGGAGGGTCTTGAGACCGGCCTTGAAGGAGGCAAGAGAGGAAGTGAGGCGAAGGGACTGTGGGATGGAGTTCCAGAGTGTGGGGGCAGTGAGGCTGAAAACCCGGCCACCGATGGTCGGGTGGGAGACATGGAACAGGCCAGAACCCGCTGAACGGATGGAGCAGGCAGGTTGGTAGGGAGTCAGCAGGTCAGAGAGGTAGAAGAGGACAAGGCCATGGATGGCTTTGAAAGTGAGGACGAGGATCTTGAATTTGATCCTCTGAGGGATGGGTAGCCAGTGGAGTCGGGCGAGGGTGGGAGAGATGGGGGTCATGGAGCCTGTACGAGGCAAGGAACGCAAGGTACGATAGCCAACATTAGAAGCTCTTTGGGGAGGGATTCACCAAATATAAGTGAAGTAAATAGATTTTTGAAATCCATTTCCTTTGGCAGAAAATATCAAGTATATCTATTGTGCTTTAGAATGTATTTCATGATGTTATCAGTTGACTGGATATGTTCTGCTTGACAAGTTAAAATCTTTCTCATTGCTTTTCACTCTGACATGATTCCCCACACAAACTCGTATTTAAAGTGAAAAGCTCTCGATCTCTAATAGCCATGGTTCAGTAGGTTCCAAGTACTCTGGGAATTTTGAGTTCCTCATTTTCTAAAAAAAACACATTTGAAGTAGTTACATCTATGGGTTGCTTCCAACCAGATCATCCCATGATGATGCATCACAAATAATCCAATATCATAAATTGCAGACATTAAGTCCTATGCTACACCTTGCTCTGATAGCAGAAGTTAGTTTGTTGGTACTAGATGCAAGACTCCTTGTGAGGCCACCGGAGTTAACCAATGTAATGCATACTCTATTGTGCCAAGAGATGGAGATCAATCACACTGCAGCAGACTTGGTCTCAGGAAACCAATATATTCAGCACATTATGACTGCCCCTACCTGAACTGCCTTTAATGACTGATAAGATCCCACTGGTTGCCTTTAAGGGACCTGAACCCCAGGTGCTTAGAATTAACCACAAGCATGTGACATATATGCAGATGTAGATTGAGATCTTTGTGATTTTCTTATTATTTGCCCCCTCCAGAGTAAATATGAAGGCATTTAATATCAGTGGGCGAAACGTGGCAGCCAATGGGATCTGTTATGCAAGTTTTAATAATAATAATAATAATCCTTGCATTTGATATAGCGCTTTTCACGTCGGGAGGACGTCCCAAAGCGCTTCACAGAACACACTGTAAAGTGAATTGACTGTATATTTGTGGGCGAACGCGGCAGCCAATTGCGCACAGCAATGTCCCACAAACAGTCGTAGATTGAAAATGACCAATTTATTATTATTTTTGGTTTTGGAGGGATTATTATTAGGTGTGTGGAGTAAGGAAACTTGCCCAAGGTTTCGCCCTGCCTGGAATTGAACTCAGGTCTCTCGCTTGCAAAGCGAGTGCTCTAACCACTGAGCTACAGGACTCCACAAAGTTTTGTAATTCATGTGTGACATGTCCTTATATATTAAGTAACCAATGAAAATGATTGTTGTGGATGTTGTTGTTGATTATTAGCTGATTGGCAGATCAAATTGGGTCACTCAATCCATGACCGTTTGTGGGGAACAGTCTTCTCTGTCAGCATGCGAGCATAGTCTGAGGCAGGCAATATCCAGAAGCTGCTAAAATAATAATAATAATAATCCTTGCATTTGATATAGCGCTTTTCACGTCTTCTAGATGTCTCAAAGCGCTTCACAGAATATGTTGTAAAGTGAATTGACTATATATTTGTGGGCGAAATGTGGCAGTCAATTGCGCACAGCAGTGTCCCACAAACAGTTATGGATTGAAAATGACCAATTAATTATTGTTTTGTTCTTTGGAGAGATTATTATGTAACAAAAGGCCAGACAATGCAGAGGACAGCTGTGGAGTAATGCCATTTTCTCTCCAACTTTTTGTGTTCACATGATGGCTTCTAGAAATCACCAGCCTTAATCTACCCATAGCCAACTGAGGAGACTCAAATTGGTTACCATCCCATTTGGGAATATTGCAAATGTGTCCCTGGTGCCTCTGGACCCCTTCTGCAAGATGTGAATTATTTCTTTTTAACCCCTGTTTACCTAGCAGTAGATAGGAACCTATTTTTTAGTTGATTGGTGGATTTGAAAACGGGGGTAACTCCTTCAAAAAAAAAATTGGTCACTTCAATCCACGATTGTTTGTGGGACACTGCTGTGCGCAATTGACTGCCGCATTTTGTCCACAAAATGTTCAGTCAATTCACTTTACAGTGTGTTCTGTGAAGTGGTTTGAGGACATCTCGAAGGCGTGATAAGGCGCTATATCAAATGCAAGGATTAGTATTAGTATTATTTCAGAAAAGACTTGGAATAATACACATCTTTTACTAAGCATTCATGTCTCAAACTATTGACTTAAAGTGACAACTACAAATGCATTCATGTACTCCAAACCAGCCTTGATAGTTTAGAGTACATGAATGATAGAGTTGATGATTACCCACCTCTATTGTTCTACGACTGGGTAGTACAAATAGTGCATGAAGACGGAATATGAAGGAGAAAGTTAACTGATCTACTGTAGAGCCTCATTATCACACGATGCTTGGGACTTGTCATAGTCTAACACATCTTAACCAGTCTTGCTCAGTTCCCATCCCCCCAAAATGGCTGACCTCCGGAGAGGCACACTGACATCATTTCCTTTGGATTGTACATTGGTACAATATCATTTGTTTGTAATTTATTATCCACATGCAGAAAGCTTTCTTGCCTTTCCCCTCAGTCTGTCTAATCTGGAGTGCCTGACTTCACTACTTTAGTTTCTGATTCTTTGTTTTGAAAACTTACTCACCTGCAGCCCACTTCATTGAAAGAATGCAGTGTGGAATTGAGGAAATGATCCTCACATTCACATAGTCCTGACCTACAGTGAGATTTGCATCTTATTAGGGACTTTCCCTGTTTAGATTGTCTTGTGTGTGGGATGAACCACATTCAAAGAATTACGAATAATGGAGAATAAATAGATCATCACATATTGTTCATAATTGTTGGGGAAAATGTTAGTTATGATGAGACAGCTTTAGTTCTACACTTGGTAAGTGGCTGCTGAGTATGTTTTAAAGCTATTATTGCTGTTCATCCAAATTCATGAGAACCAACAGGTTTAAAACAATGGGGTTGAAGGCATTAATTAACTGTTTTTTATAACAGAACCACAGAAATGTCAAATATTTAATGTTTGTATATTAGAGTGGATACTTTATTCCTGAACAATAATTTAAATGTTATTTGGGAAATCTCTTTTACTACTTTTTTACCTTTTCACTTTTAGTTCTTGCAGAATTATTGGAAACAGTTGTTACTCATCTCGCTGCTAATACCTCAGCATGCTTCTTCCCTCAAGCAGCATATAAAGGTGAGTTGCTATTATCTTTTTATATTATATTTTCCTTCTTATATCCACCTTCTCCAATTATGTGCATTGCTCACTTCCCAATCTTGCTTGCCTCCTTCATAAACAGGAGCTCAGCCTGCAGCCACCATGTTTATGTCATTTAGAACTTTCTCCAAAACTATTTTAACTTGATACCACACTCTGTCTTCAGTTTGCTTCCAAAAATATATCTCCGACCATGACTTTGATCAACATTTTTAAGTTCCCTTTTCCTTGCTCAGTGCTCAGGACATTTGTCAAGTGATTTATATATTGCCTTTCATGAGGCAATATATAAATAGACAAGCAACCCCATTTCATCTCAATGGCAGATCCCAGAGCACTATTTTTAACATTTTCCTGCGCAACGTGTTTGATCACTGTGTGAAAGTGCTGCTGATGTCACTTCCTAAGTGCTTTACAGTAATTACTGTTAAGTGTAGTGACTGCTCTACCATTAGTCCCAGATTAAGTCTGTAATCTTAAACACTTGTTTTTCATGTATACCTATGGATAATATTTTACATTAAATATAATCTGCCATGAATCTGGCCAAATAGACAACCCCTGTTTAGTTGTATCCTCGAGGGATCTCTGCTGCTTTTCCCATCTTCCCATTTGTGCAAGGATTTATTGTCTTTCAATGGTACCAAAGATATACTTTTTTTAATAGAATTTTGATTCTTTCGATGTAGCAATTGTTCTACAAAAATGATGAAACAATATTTTTATTTTGTAAATTAAAATGATTAGAAAAGGCATTATATTTGTTGGCATTATATTTGTTGATATAGAAGTGCCTTTCTACAGTTATTTTAAAAAAAATGCAGACTTGAAGATGAATGTTTCATATTTGTAAAATCTTTTTCCTAAAGCAACTTGAGTAATGATGGTTAATTAGAAAATACATTGAGCCATGAAGAGTACACAGAGGAGAACACTGTTGACATGTATGTCCTAGTCCTGCTGAATGAAAGCTTGCATTTTATATTTAAAGGAAGTGCATTGCTCTCTGCATAGTGAACCGAAGGTATGAATGTGTTATCAAACACATTCATACCTGACCATGAAGACACAAATTCAGTACAATATATACCAGGCTATACTTACAAATTACTCAGCTATCACATGAGTGATCACATGCATAGGGAGTGATTCATCCCATGGTAGGATCCTGGGCAGGTTAAACAGATGGCAGGGTGGATGATAACTGTGCACATCACAGACTGTCTTCAACTACACAGAAGGCCCACCTTTCAAATACTAATTAAAAATTCAATTCTCTGGTCTGTGTGGTTAGAATATTGTCCTTTCGCCACAGGGACCTGGGTTTTCATTGCAGCTGTGACAGGTGGGATGAAAGCCTCTGCCAGCTGTAAAGGAATATAATAAAATGAGTTTGGGCAGTCTCAACCCAGTTCCTGGAAGACAAGTTTCCATCCCCATGCAATAATACTGAATTCTTTAAAGGTGTGCATATTTTATCACATGAACCATCTGTTACTCTGACTGTGTAAACTTCTGTGGCCCAAAGCCAATTCATTTTCATTTATTGTTGCCATGTTTGTTCAAAAACAAGGCAAATGTCTATTTTAAAGGCAGCAGCTGCCACCTTATTGATTTGAAATAAGAATAAAACGAATGATAAAAGGCCAACTTCCTTTAAGCTTCCAAGATTATCCATTCAAATTTCTTTCTGGTGTGTTGAGAATTCAGTTTCAAAAGAAGTTTACTGAAATGCACTATATAAATGCAATTTGTTGTTGTTTTCAATGGTAATCTGAATCCAAACAGTACAGGAAGTCCATCTGTGAGAAATTAATTTTTTGCCAATGTTTTACATCTGATTTATGGGGTTGATATTCTGGTGGCTGATCATTTGTAGATTAAAGGCCAGCTAAACGTTTTGCACCTAGTTGTACAGTGCAGCCACATACTGTGTCTAGCAATGTTTACTGAAATCACGTAACTGACCACAGCTGTCTGGTGCTTCACTGCACCGAGCAGATCGGATCTGTTAACCCGCTTTCTAATGCGATGGGCCATTCAGGAATGCCATCACGTTCTCAGGTCATGCACCCTTTGTTCAGCACAGCAAGTCACGCTACCTGAGTAACAGCATGAACTACCAGGAGCAATGCACCTGATGTAGCACATGAAGAGCACAACCCCACATAAACATGGTTGACAAATTACAGTGCATTGAAACAATATTGTATTACATGTATAAAAGTTCATATTATATCAGCTATCATGCTGCTCTTTGGGTGTGGGAAAGTCTACAGTAGCATCTCCAACCTCACACAAAATATTAATAAATGTAACAACAGGAATCATTTCCTTTAGATAACTAGCATTTGGTGTTTAGCTGCTGAAGAAAGGAAGTTTTGCAACAAGCATTACGGAACTTGGAGCAAAATTGGCTGCTATCCAACAAAGCAGCTACAATAAATATGGTTATTGGCTCAAATTGCCTTGCTTTGCTTAGTTTAAAATGTCACAACAACAACAAATTACACTTGTATAGCACCCTTCACGTTGGAAAGACAATTACAATTGTGTCACAAATACAATTAAGGTTTGCTCAAATGAAGGCACATCTTTCTCCGCCAGTAATTAATAGGGTTCTCTTACATGCAGCATCATAAGCAAAACAAACAACAGCGCAGTCTCACAAATCAAAGTGCAACAGAGTATCATTGGGTAGAGAAAGCATTTCTTGAGGGCATCACTGAAGGAACACTCTCTTCCAAGACAAGGACAGCAAGAGTCAGGACGTTGAGGTAGTGTTATCATGAAAAGTCAATTGCTTGTGCAAGACTGATTTGGATTGTATGCCCTGGCTCCTTCAAGACACGCCTCAAGACCCTCCTCTTCGACCGAGCCTTCGGCCACCCTCTTCCCACTCTGGCCTCCACCCTAATGACCCTGACTGTTCAGCGCCTCGGGACATCCTCCCAACATGAAAGCAAATGTAATTTTGATTTATGTTGTATTGTACTTGCAGCTTGGTGGTTCATTGTTCCTATAGATTTCCACCATGGATACAAATTTATCAATCCAAAGGTACAGGAGATATTCCACTTGGGTCAAGGTACTCATCTGGCACAACACTGTTAGGACATTCCCAACCACTGTTTATGGTTAAAATAGTCCCCTTCCTTTCCATGATTTTCTCACATGAGAGGCTCTCTGGTGATGGGACAGGAGAGATTGGTAGGCTCTCACTTGCAGTGTCTGGTCATTGTACCTCCAGAAAAAATTCTCTCCTTTAGCTTTGGATTGTATTTCTGAGATACGGGCATTGGATACCATACACAGCAATCTGTCCCCAAGGTCAATGAAACTAGGAACAGCTGTGAAAAGCATGAGTGTGTTTTTGTCTGTGAATTCAAGTGAACTTAAAGGGGCAAGTGTTCAAAATGCGGCTTGAACAGGCACTTTGCAGAGCACAGTGTGGCCAGTGGCTCAGGCTCCTGTAAATTAACATAACACAAAAACGGCAATTTATCACAAAATATAGAGTGCACAACAACACTACTACATTTGAAAACCTCAAATTAAGCCTTTTTATGGTGGCAATATAATGTTTCTCCCTCAAAACAAATCAATTTTAAGGCATATAAATGCTCAGCCATTGCAAATATAATCTAAATTAGATGTTTTTCTCTCACAGCATTGCACAGATAATAACCCCATTACTGTTGAGGTTGGCATTCTCAATGATGGAACATATGTCAATTTCTAATTCAGGTGAATTCTTACTGCCCTGGGATGAAAAAATTAAATTGAGCCAATTTGGGAGTGAATCGATTAACTTAAATAAATTCACAATTTTCCAGTGAACTCCTGTCCCTCTGGTCCTCTTCCCCCACTGACCTTACCTACTCGGTCACCCTTCTTCACAATTCCTTCACTAATCTCCTCAACACCCTTGCCCCTGCAAGTCCCCCTGGTACACCACCCACCCCTTCCCCCTCAAGTCACAGCTGCATGTCGCTGAGCTCACCTGGTTCAAATCCAACCTAACGGTCACCACCACATTTGGCTTGACAGCACCAAAACGTATCGTCCACCCTCACTTCAGCTAAATTGTCATTCGACTCCAGGATCATCCTGAAGGCCAAGGGTAATCCCAGGCTCCGCTTCTCCACCTCTACAAACTGGCTCCTTCACCCACCTTCCCATGACCACCCATTCCAACTCTCCTCCAACTCCAAATACAAGGGGTTGATCCACTTCCTTGGTCCAAAATTAATGACACCTGCTCTGCTGCCTCTGCTCTTTGCCACCCACTACCCACCTCCTCCTGCTGCATCCCTCCCTCCACCCTTTCAATCCATGTCTCCCTATTCTCTCTCTTCTGTCGTCTCCCAAATGTGCTCCCTCGTAGGCATGGTCGAACAGAAAGGTCTTCAGGCACAACCTAAAGATGGAGAAGAAGGGGCAATGCGGAGGTATAGGTGAAGAGTGTTCCAGAGTTTTGGGCGTAGTGGCTGAAGGCGCAACCACCGATAGTGGAATGGAGGGCCCAAGGGACAAGCAGTAGGTCGGAGCCAGTCGAGCAGACTCAGTGGGTTGGGGAGTAAGCAGGTCGGGATTCGAAGACGTGTGAGATTCTTGAAATCAATCGATTCAGTGATAGGGAGCCAGTAGAGCATAGCTAGAATTGGTGTGATGGGGGTACGGAGTTTAGTATGGGAGAGTATGCGGATGGCAGAGTTTTGGATAAGCTGGATTTTCTGGATAGTGGCTGTAGAGGCCAGTGAGAAGGGCGTTTGAATAGTCGAGGAGACAGGTGACTAATGATATCTACTTTGATGCAGACAGAGAATAATAATAATAAAACTTGCATTTGATATAGCGCTTTTCACGTCTTCTAGACGTCTCAAAGCGCTTCACAGAATATACTGTAAAGTGAATTGACTGCATATTATGTGGGCGAAACGCTGCAGCCAATTGCGCACAACAGTGTCCCGTAA